CATAAGTCAACACAGCATACAAAACTCACCTAGCGCATGATGGATCGACCACTTCACATCTGGTGCCTTTTGTTTAGGTTTGGTGGTCTCCCACCCTTTTAGGGTGTTTTTTTCACATTTTTTCTATGGGTTGTGTTATGCACTCCAAAGCCCATTGGGGCGCAAATCCTCTGCTGTGCGATTTCCATGTTGTCTCCTGCAGTGAGCGTTAAATGGTCTTGGTTTGGCGACGTTTTACTCCACTTAATATACACTAAGACTGTGTTTGGCAATTACACAACTATTTATTAATAACATTTCACCACCATTTATAAGTATCTTCACCCTCAAAATAAGGTATGCATATAATGCAGACTAAGTAATGTTACGTACAAACGTAACTCAATTCATCACCATTTATAATTAACATTTCATCACCATTTATAAGTATCTTCACCCTCAAAATAAGGTATGCACATAATGCAGACTAATTAATGTTACTTACAAACGTAACTCAATTCAACATATCATTTATGTTATAATCTGAAATTAAAGTATTTTAAAACACTTTAACATGTTAATTTAAAGAATTTAAACCAAAATTAAAATCCCTTGGATTAACTTTAGACAACAAGCAAAATACTCGTTGTTTCCAAAAATAACGAAAAGAGCCACATCTTTTTTTTTTCCTTCAAAATATTAAAAAAAACATGCACTTAGTTTTAAATTATTTAACATATCTTTGAATTTTTTTTAGCAAAGTTTAATACTAATTGTCACACTCACCATTTCACCGTCAAAAGAAAAAATCTGGCAAAGTTTAATATTAATTGTCACACTCACCACCTTCACCATAAAAAAAAGTATTCACATAGTGCTGAAAAACTAATAGTCACACATAAATCTAACTCAATTCAACATATTATTTATATATTTTTTAAGTTAAATTTTATCATAAAAATAGAACATCTAAAAAAATAGTTACATATTAATTTAAAGAGGATTTTGTAGAGGATTGCGAGGTATTTGACTGTCAACAACCTTTACTTTTTAAGTGGTGATGTGACCCTCTTATAAATGATGATGTTACTTTTTAGACTCCCGTGATATTACTTTTTAGATTTCTGAGATGTTATTTATAAATGGTGGTGAAATGTTACTTATAAATGGTGGTGTAATTGCCAAACACAGTCTTAGTGTCTATTAAGTGGAGTAAAACGTGGTCAAACCAAGACCACTTAATGCTCACAGCAGGAGACAGCATGGAAATTGCACAGTAGAGGATTTGCGCCCTTGTAAATCATGCTCACTCTTCCTGTTATGTAGCAGTGTGGCTCTTACCTCGTGTTATGTAGCGGTGTGGCTCTTGCCTTGTAAATAAGCTTCCCTCTCCAGCCTCGCATTTTAAACTCAACCGGCTCATCAAGATACATCGTATTGGTGCGCACAAATGCAGAATAGTCCCATGAATTTAACCGATAAGTGTCACGAAAATTGGACAAGTTGAGGAGATGAGTTCCATGCCTTGTGCTGAAGAAAATTTCTCGCTCATAGGAAGAAGGATCACCATCAGTGAAAAGCCCTTTGGATCAACACGAGTGTCTTTGAATGCCACAACCTAATTCTTGCTTCGATTATATATTGATAAATAAATATTATTCAAAAAGCAAGTATAAAGAAAAAGTACATTACATATTTAGGGAGAAAAAAAGTACATTACATACCTTCCTACAAATAAAAGAAAACAATACAATTCAAGAAAAAAAAAAGAAAAAGAAAAAAGAAAACAATACATTAATACTTTCCCACACATAAAAAAAATTCTAGGCATTACAATTAATAAAAATTCTAGACATTACAATTAGTAGCCCATTTGTTTGTAACCCAACATAATTTTATTTTGTAAATCCTCAATTCATTCTTTGATCGCCGGTGTTGCAACATCATTTGAATTTTTTTTTATCATTTGTTTTTCCGAAAGAACCTACTCATGTTCCATCTTCATCATCTTAATTTGTTGTTGTACCTCAATCTTCTTTAATTTAATTTCTTTTCGTACCTCAATCTCTAATCGCCATGTACGTTCTTACTCTACGCGCAAAATCGTATTTCAATTTCATTTTCAAATTTTGAGATTCGAGTGCTAAGTCATTCATCAACTTATTGTGCTCTATAAATCTTTGAAATTATGTAAGAAATAAGTCGTTTTGCAATGGACACTTCGGCCAAATTAGCCAATATCCCTCCCACAATATGTTCGCGACACACATTTTCAGTCGTTTTAAAAGATTCACAATAAAGCGGACAATGCTGATTTCAGAAAATATCTGATAGAACTTTTGATGAATCAATTTAATGATGAAGGTGTTTAAATTTGGTGTAATTGAATAAAATGTAATTTTCACATTATTATGTAAATTAATTAAATCATTATACAAAAAATAAAGAATAAATTAAATTGATAAGTCAAAAAGTACGAACCTTTTTTTCAAAAAAAAAAAAAATTAATTAAATTTTTATGCAAATTAAATCACTCTTAAATTATGACTCTTTTTAAATTAATTAATTGATACAATACACCATAAAAAAAGCATATACAATAAAACTAATCAATGCATACAATAATTATTTTACACACCATCATTTTTTCTTTTTAAAACATAAATGGACCATAAGGCCTCACAATTACTTATTGTTAGTGCTACTTCATTCCATACTAGTGGAACATTAAGTGTCAAATCTCATGTGGGAGTCACCAAGTGCGGAAGCACATACCAAGTAATAGAATTCGCCACACGGGATGCTCCAAGAGTTTGTGATACAGAATGTAATTGTCGGACAGAATCTACTAAATTTATATGAATAAGAAAAGAGTCTCACTTAGGTAGGACACATTTGATTATTTTATATGAGTGAGAATGCATCCCACTTTTAGACATTAAAGGGGCATCCCCCAATTAAGACACAATGATGAGCGCTGAAAAGTGCGTATTTAAACCCCTTAAGCTTAAGTATTCTAGGACCTTTATCTATTTTACTTTCCTGTTTTAGACTAATTTCGTGTTATTATCTTTTTTAGGTACTTATCCCCAAAATAAGCTAATTTAACCAAATAAGAGCTCAAAAGAAGCTAACTCAAGCTGGATGGAAGAAATGAGCAAAGTGGAAGCAGATTGAAGCAAAATGTGGAATTCAGCATGTTCGATCGATCTCAAGGATACTTCGATCGATCGAAAGTTTATCGATCTAGACTCTCCAAGATGGATCCAAGCTCTTTTGTCCTTATCCAAAGATTCCACAAAGTTCGATCGATCCAACAATTCTCAGACCGATCGAAAAGATTCCATCTTATCCTGTTGTACTACCCCACCTACCACTTTTGTCTCTTTCCCCAAAATATCTCAGATCTGTCCTTATCCAAAAAGGCGCCGCCATGGGAGAATCGATCCAGCCAAAGTTTGATAGATCTCAGCCATGTTCGATCGATCACAGCACAAGTTCGATCGATCGAACTTCCTCAAGTCCCAAAAAAATATATTTTTAGCTCATTAAAAGTTGTCTCATTGTGTAATCATTGGAGGAGCCCTTGTGTATGAGCCTAGACTATTGGGTGTGACATTTGAGCTACATATATAAGGAATACGAGCCACTTTTACATATAGTCTTTGATAAAGGAGAGGAGATACACAAGACACAAGATACACAATACACAAGACACAAGACACAAGACCCAATACACAATATTAGAGATTGTCTTAGAGAGGAAGAAAAGAGAAGAGGAGCTAGAGACACACTCTTGGGAGATTTTCTATCTACTTTAAGAAGAGGAGTATTTCTACCATGGAGATAGCCTTTGAGGGTTGGAGGACACCATCCATGAGTGGCTAGACATCCTCTTGGGGTTAGAGTTAGCCCTAAGCATACTTTCTTTATCTTGATTTATTTATTTTTGAGGGGATTTGTGTTGTAATAAATCTTGTTTATGTATACATGTTTTGAGGGGATTTATGTATACATGTTTTGACATCTTTATATACATAGATCTTGTTTATTCAATGATTTGTGTAGTTTAATTCTTCCAAGTGATCATTTCATTCTATCCATATGTCTATGTATGCTAGAATAGATGTTCATGTGTTTATCTCTATTTCTTGTGTTGTTGAGGCATGTCTATGTGTGTTGATGTTATGGATCTAGAGATTGTCAAGACATAGTGCTTAATAGAATGCTCTTGTGGTTTATTTGATGTTTCATGCTTATTTCTTGATGGATTGTGCCTCTCCCTTAGTTTAATTTTCATGTCATTAGTGTAGATGTAGTGTAATTACCTTAGTTGTTAAATGAGAGGATAATCCATGCTTGTTATTTGATATTCCATACTTATGAATGCAAGTAATATATTTCTCTAATTTCGTGATGTGTTTGGATTGTGAGCTTAAAGGAATGATTAATGGCTTAGTTTGATATATTGTGCTATTCATTGTGTTGTTTAGACAATATACACTTAATTGGTCATCCATGCTTGTTGAAACAATCACACACACTCACTATTGTTGTAACATATGCCTTCCCCTCATTAGTGTAGAGAAAAGTGATGCTTAGTGGTGATTTCTAAGTTCCAAGATCTCTCTCTCTTGTTTTCTCTATCCTTTAATTATTTGTTTTATATTGATATTGTTTAATCTTAATTGTAGTTTAATCAATCAAACAACCTACCTTTGATCACTCGACCTACTAACCCTAAACCTTGTTTCCATTACTAGTAGCTCTCAAATCCCTTGGGATGATCCCTACTCACCCTTGCTATATTTTTAGTTAATGGTAGTAGTGACATTTATAAATATAAAACTTGGTTACATTGCACATTCACTATCTTTTACACATCTTTAAGCGTTGGTGCGGCGACAACACCACACAACACCTAAACAAAATAAACAACCTCTGCTTATTGCTTTCTAGGTTCGAACACTATCCTTTTAAATCTTTTGAGGACCGGAGTGTAGCTAATTAATGCCCATTAATAAAGGTAAACAATATTGATAATGAAAAATGAGATGAGTAATTATTATAAAAATGTAAATAAGAGTTAGTTATTATCTTTTTTATTTTTGTATTTCAAAGAATGACAACAGAATTACTATTTCAAAGGTCCATGGATCTCTCTTACTTCTCTTATTCTTTTTCCTTTTTCTTTTTTCCTTTTTAATTTTTTTATCCCTGTAAGTAAATATAGATTTGATTTTTCCTCCATGTAGTGTGTCACCTTAGCTTCAAATATTTAAATACCAATGAGAAAATTAATTGACAGAATGAAGAAATTAAGAAAAAATAAAATAAAAAATGAGTTTTGTAAAACATTACAAGAGTATTTTTCATCACTATTGATTACAAAGACCTCTATAATGGCCTAGGTAGACTTGCACAATTCCCCTACCAAAGTTTCTCTATACACATCATGCCTTATAATCCGAATGACCCAAAAAAAAACCCTTCACAGCTCTCTCAATTGTAGGGCATGTTATACTTATGACACCCAAGGACACAGACAGACCATTCACATATACCTAATTAGCCAAAGCTTCAACGCGTGTGTGTATAACCTCCCATATTATAAGGATAGGGATTTTGCTGCAGCTTAGATATTCCAAGCTGTCCTTGCATCCCATCTCTTGCATATTGCTGCCACATTAGCTGCTCCTCCACTAGCAACCTCTGCTTCTTCTCTATTTCTGACATCTGCACGTATGACGGTGGTGCCACTGCAAGGGAGGCTGCAAAAGGGTCAGAATTTGTTGTCGTGGCAGCATTGCCATCCGATGCAGGGGGTGCAGGCAGAGACAACATTGCAGGCCTTCCTGCTGACCCGAGCGCGACACTGCTTGCACTTCCTGTCGGTGTGACCCCTGAGGATGCCACTGCTGCTGTTGTTGCCCCTTGTTGGTACATCCCATCAAGCAGCAGCATGTCAAAACCACCCGGCAAAGATGCTTGCTGGCCGGACAAGTGGCTCGCAGATTGGACCAGTGTTGTCTCCCAGTCCCCTGACTCATTGAAAGCCTCCCAGGCAAGTGTGGTTGAAGGACCAGTTGCTGCTGGGGCACCATCAAATAATGCCAAGGCCAATTTATCTGCATTTTCTTCTGTTGTCCTTGAATCTTCACCTAAGTTCAATAAATCCCCTTCTTTTTGGGTAACATTGTCCTTTTCTTTCTTTTCCTCGACTTCCATCTTTTCATTTTCCTCCTCTACTTCTTCTGGAAACCCTTCAGGGGGTGGTAATGCTTTGATTTCATTCATCCCCTCTTCGATTGCTTCAGGTTCTATGGCTTCTTCCACTGGCTCATCTTCAAGTTCTAATGGCTTGGCCTTCTTGATTTGTCCTGACGCGGACTTATCATGAATAAACTCATCCATGACTTCCAATTTCTTATTTGTGATCTTCTCCACCTCAGGATACTCTGAAGAACGCGCGATCCCAACATACTTGCACCAGTCATAGAATGCATCAAGTTCGTCTAATTGTTTCGCGACACGACAGAAGATCTCATAAACCTTCACACAATCGGATAAGTCTAGCTCCATGAACCGATCAATTAAGATGCCTAGTATTTCAGTTATGTCATATTGTAGTTGAAAACTTTCTTTGACAACTGGGTAGAGAGCCACAAGCACAACCCTGTTGGTCTTTGCTGCACCTGTTTCAAAATTAACAAAACATAGAAATGTCAATGATGTGAGTTAATTAAGGCTAGCTAGAAGCATCATGCAAAATTATCGATATTGTCATTTTAAATGATGAGAAATTTATAATGTGACTGATGTCTCACATAGGTGAGGCTCACAGCTATGTGAGATTGTCAAATGTATCATTATTTCAAAATAATTCAACCCAAGTGCTCCATTCACGCACATGTGTGGCTATTATTAGTAGGTCAAAATGTGTATCAATTATAATTATAAGTATAATTATAACTTTGATTGTATCCAATAATTATTAGTTTGATTATATCCAGTCAAAACACACACACAAATGACCATTTTATTCAACTAGTGTGTTAGGTTTGAGATTCATTGTTCTTTTAATAATTTATTATACGAACCTGTTGGCCGACACGCTAAAAATCGCTCGAGGAGTTGCATTAAATGTTGAACTCTTGTAAATACGTGCTCACTCTTCATGTCACGCACCGGTGTGGCTCTCACCGAGGCAGGGCCAGAGGTAGGGGCAGGGGCTGCCTCCTCCTCGTCATCGTCATATCCAAATGCACTACGCTTCCCTCTCCGGCCTTGCATCTTGAACTCGAGTTGTTCATCAAGATACAACGCATAGGTGCGCACAAATGCCGAATAGTCCCATGAATTTGAGCGCGAAGTGTCACGAAAATCGGACAAGTTGAGGAGGCGAGTCCCACGCCTCGTGGCAAAGAAAATTTCTTGCTCATAGGAAGGATCACCATCAATGAGAAGCCTTTGGATCAACATGAGTGTCTTGAGTGCCACAATCCAATTCTTGGTCTTGGTTAGACGCCTAGAAATGGTGCTCACACATGCTCCCACGTAGGCTCGAGAGTAACATGTTAAGCTCAATATTTCTCGAATGTACTTCTCCTCGGCAGGGTATTCTTCGTGCCTCGTTGCCTTCACAATGGCAACGTCGAGGTCAGCGAGAGAGGCGCTGCCACCAACTTTCGCTAGGCCTATGCTGGTCTGGTCCTTGACCGCCCCAATAGCTTTCTTGAATTTGCTTGGTGCCATGAAGTGTTAAGGGCCTGTGTATATTATATATTAATGCTTTGTCTTCCAACTAGTGAGGATTAGTATGGTTTGATTTTCAATAGGACTCAACGGCCAACCTGAAATAATCAAATCCAAAATATGTTTAAAATCAAACACAAGTACTTGTCACATGTTGTAACATGAAGATCGCGGGTTGAAAATTAGTGAAAACTAAGATATTAATTGATTTCGATTAAAACTCAACACGAAAAACTATTATGCGTCATAAGATTACATAAATGGAAATTTTGAACCATAGTAATGGGATCAACATATCGGCTCTAACGATACACGTAAGGCAAAGCTCCTGAAGAGCTTTGTTACCATTATATTTTGATAAATTGGAGAGAAAATTGGGTGGGTATAGTACGGACTACGGAGTGCCCTATCATAATTTTTTGTGAATAAAAATTAAGTAAAAAATTGCTTGCTTGGCCCTGAAGTCGGGTGGTGGATTCGGATTATCTTGATGTGTATAACTTATATAATTAAATAGAATCATAAACATATACAAGATTTAAAAAAAAAAATAGAATTTTTTTTGGGATATCATAAAGCATTTAACAACTATAACCATAAATTTTGATAATTTTATGATTACAAATTTAAAATATCATAAAAAATAATGAAACAAAAAAAATAATAAAATAGCTATTTATATGCATTATTACAATTAATTTGGAGGAGTTCAAAGTAAAACTGGTGTTGAATCTCAATCCTAAAGGCTTAACCTACAAGTATTTACCTAAAAAAAAAAAAAGTGCCAAATTGATCTATTACTAAAAAAAAAAAATAAAAAAAAATAAAAAAAAAACACTTTTCAGTAAATAAAATTTATACACCGGGTGGGTATTTGAATTTATTTTAAAAAAAGACTTAAAAAAAATATGCTCAAATTGAACTTGTTCGGATTTGAAGTTCAACTAAGAATTTATTAGTTTAATAATGAGGTCGGGTTCGGTTCTAAAGCAGTAGGACCCACTAGGTCCAATAGTAATTCGTCACGTCACCAGAACCATACAAGTGTGGCACACGTTGATTCGTGTTTATTTATTTATTTATAAATTCGAAGTATTCCTATATCTATCTGTCTATATTACGCCACGTACGGTATTAGGGTTCTTTGCTTGGTGCCATGAAGTGTTAAGGGCCTGTGTATATTATATATTAATGCTTTGTCTTCCAACTAGTGAGGATTAGTATGGTTTGATTTTCAATAGGACTCAAGGGCCAACCTGAAATAATCAAATCCAAAATATGTTTAAAATCAAACACAAGTACTTGTCACATGTTGTAACATGATGATCGCGGGTTGAAAATTGAAATAACCTCTACGTACAAGGATACGACTGCTTACATCTGACCCATCCCAAAAATCGCAATGGTTAACCTTGTGCATTGGACTAACCTTTTATATATATATATATATATATATATAGTTTGCATAAACAAAAGTGTGAAAGTGGTGTCAAGAAAAGAGGGATGAGGACTCACCTGTTTCAGAAAATATTTGAAAGAATGGTTCCAAATATTTTTACTTGTCTTGGTTAAATTGTAGACATAGGAATTGGTTGAACCTTGAACTCCACAATGCAAGGTGTTTATTTAGATTGTTGTTTATCCTCAAATAATGTTGTAGGATCAAGAAATGAGAACTATAGCTTTATGAGAAAAGGTGGGAGAAGAAAGATGGCTCTGTGTATAGCTCTTCTCCTCTGTTTCTCTCTCCCCTCCTCTCTCGTTAATTTTGTTTTTTGTTTTTTGTTTTTCTTTTCTTGTGTTTTCTGATGTTGAGTGGACAATCTAATTCCTACCAACTACCATAAACCACCCTTTGTTTTAGCATAGAAATTGGGAACTTGATGGAAGCAAATGAACCACATGGCATTTATGTTTTTGGACATTAGGTCTATTAAAAGAAAAGTTTAGGTTGTCTGGTGTCAAATTAAAGGGAAATATCCACTGTGCATTATATTTTTCATGTGATATATAACAGTTAAACATTGTACGGAGTATTTTCTTTTCTATTTTAGGAACTAACGTTTGAATACTGATCATAATGGTGCATGGTTATAATTAGGGTATGGTTTTTTTACTACTAAACTTGTTACATACTAGCAGTACATTTCTCTTGATCCTACTTATAAGGGTTGGAAATTAGTGAAAACTAAGATATTAATTGATTTCGATTAAAACTCAACACGAAAAACTATTACGCGTCATAAGATTACATAAATGGAAATTTTGAACCATAGTAATGGGATCAACATATCGGGTCTAACGATACACGTAAGGCAAAGCTCCTGACGAGCTTTGTTACCATTATATTTTGATAAATTGGAGAGAAAATTGGGTGGGTATAGTACGGACTACGGAGTGTCCTATCATAATTTTTTGTGAATAAAAATTAAGTAAAAAATTGCTTGCTTGGCCCTGAAGTCGGGTGGTGGATTCGGATTATCTTGATGTGTATAACTTAGATAATTAAATAGAATCATAAACATATACAAGATTTAAAAAAAAAAATAGAATTTTTTTTGGGATATCATAAAGCATTTAACAACTATAACCATAAATTTTGATAATTTTATGATTACAAATTTAAAATATCATAAAAAATAATGAAACAAAAAAAATAATAAAATAGCTATTTATATGCATTATTACAATTAATTTGGAGGAGTTCAAAGTAAAACTGGTGTTAAATCTCAATCCTAAAGGCTTAACCTACAAGTATTTACCTAAAAAAAAAAAAAGTGCCAAATTGATCTATTACTAAAAAAAAAAAAAAAAAAAAAAAAAAAAAAAAAAAAAAAAAACACTTTTCAGTAAATAAAATTTATAAACCGGGTGGATATTTGAATTTATTTTTAAAAAAGACTTAAAAAAAATATGCTCAAATTGAACTTGTTCGGATTTGAAGTTGAACTAAGAATTTATTAGTTTAATAATGAGGTCGGGTTCGGTTCTAAAGCAGTAGGACCCACTAGGTCCAATAGTAATTCGTCATGTCACCAGAACCATACAAGTGTGGCACACGTTGATTCGTGTTTATTTATTTATTTATAAATTCGAAGTATTCCTATATCTATCTGTCTATATTACGCCACGTACGGTATTAGGGTTCTTTGCTTCAAAGAAACGCAAAACACCAAAAGGCTTTTCGTCTAGCTGTGCTTGCTCTGCTCTGCTCTGCTCTGCTGGTATTCTCAATTCGTGCCCTTTTAAGATCAGTTTATTCTCAAATCTATTCATTATTAGAAATTTATTGAATTTTGATTGTTACTCTTCCTTTTCCTGCTTATATGATTTAATCGAATTCGATCTATCTTATTATATCAATCTGATGTTTTGACCAGATGATTTTTGCTGTGTTTTTATCAACCATACGGTATTAAATATGTTTTTGTAATCAATCGTAACCTTTAGATCTGATATTATGGATAAAAATTGTGACTATGTTAAATTGTTTTTTAGGTTATTTAATCATCATCAGCATCATCTCAGATTATTCTTATAGTCTTGTTGTACAAGATTGAAAATTGCGTAGAGATAGATTGTCAGGATTATGGAGTGATAATTGTGAAGGGTTATAAATTTATAATGTGTTTTATGAATGGAAACTGATTTTATGGAAGGAGGAATTTTTTTACGCTGTTTATGGTTTATTGATGTGTAGATATTGATAGATTCGGAATCGGGAGGTTATTTCTCATTGCAATAAATTCATAATCATTTAGATATTTGAGAATTATTTGACTAGTGTCACTAGGAGTGCCAGAGGGTGTCTACAGCTTATTTGCATTGTATATTTGGTGTATGCAATTCCCATCTTCTGGAATCTTTATGAAAGCGTACAATAGAGATTGTGTATGACTTTAGGACCCAAAAGTAAGCTGTTACTAAAGGTATTTGTTTCAATCTATGAATAGCAAGCTCATGCCCTTCAAATATACTCCTTTTCAAGATTGTGTAAGACTTTATAACGTTCAATTATAGCTAGTACTCTATAAATTAAACATTTACATACTACTACTTTTTTCTTTTATGGAGAGCTTTTGGAAGTTTCTGTAACACGTCTTGATTCTTCTCTCTCTGTATATATTTCTATCTAAATTAGTTTTTGTTTGTTTTGGTGTATTTCTAAGCATTCTTAAGATACACGCCTATTACTAGGTATAGAAGGTTTGTAAATAAAATTAATTTAATCACAAACTAATTAAATTGATCCCAGAAAGGAACCAATTTTAATAATATTGGTTGAGTTGTGAACTCCCTTTTTTTTTTTAAAAAAATAAATCGTTCATTAATTAATTGCTAATAAGAGAGTTGTTGATGAAGATAGAGAGTGGTTTATAGATTTGAGTGGCTCTTTTATTATTGTAGTGAGGATAGCCATGTATTAAGTGTGGAGGCTGGCATGTGGATTTCTCTGTCATGTAGTTCTTATAACGGGAGACTGATTCTTGGTAATGGTATCAGCCACAAACAACAAGTGATATGCCAATCGGAGCACCCATCAACAAGTGTTGTATTTGAGAAAGTGTTGAGAATAATGAGGAACAAACGCACTATGAATTTGTGATCATACTATTGTATGTTGACTTGGGAGAGTAATATATATTGGAAATTTTCAATTGTTTGATTTGAGCCATCTGCAATATTTGGTGATGATATGTGATGGTTCTTCATTCATAAGGGAAAAATTTGGGTTTATTTTGTTTGATGGAACTATCAAAGTACATTTGAGAATATGGTTATTGTGAGACATAGGGATTACTTGTTGAGAGCTTAATTAGCATTTTATGTATTTCCCAGGTGTTTCTCCGTAAAATGTTTCTTTTTGCTACCAGTCAACCATTAGGGTTGCCTGAAAGTTGAATAAGAATACATCCCCAACTGGAATTTATTTATTTATTTTTAGCCAAAATAGGATGAGAATGTGTTCGGGTTAGGATCTGGTGCATCTGTTTCAAAACATTAATCAAGTTTTACAATTTGTTAAGAATCGAACCACTGCAGGGAATGTGCATATCTATTGAAACGATAGTGTGAAGAAAGTTACTTCTTGAAATTAAAAGCAGCCTATGTTACAGACAAATCTTAAGTTATTTTATTTTTAATGCTGCATTCCTTATCGCGAGGACCTTGTTAAGAGTAATTCTTTTGTGTATGGATTAGTCATTGCTGAGTGGTATAACTGATTTCCATGTTTTGCATTACAAGAATGGTTTGTGATGGTCACAAGATTGCCAGTTATCAACTTTTTTCATGTTCCCTTCTATTTATACATGCACTGTACAGAAGGAGATTATACACTGTTTTATTTTTATTTTTGATGTTTCCTTTCTTTGGGGGGAAATAAGCAGTTCAAAGTATGTCGGAAGATCTGGAGTACCGTTGCTTTATTGGTGGCCTGTCCTGGTCAACATCTGATAGAGCTCTAAGAGGTGCATTTGAAAAGTATGGCCATCTTCTCGAGGCAAAGGTAATAGATTATTAGTTTTTTTGTTTGCTTGTATAGATTTCTGTTTCATAGTTATTTTGTATTCTTTTGTTTGCTTGTATAGATTTCTGTTTCATTAGATCTGTATTTCACCATTTCAGAATATACTTGTTAGTTCCTCACCTTATATTGCTTCCCCCCCCCCCCCCCCCCCCTTTTTCTTCATTCCCAAGAAGATTCCTTAGTGTGTGACATTTTCTATTTTTCACGACCTTGCTGGAATCTTCTGTTCTCCATTCCAGTTCCTTTTGAAAATTTGTCATGCTTCTATTCACATCACAATTCATACGTTACATGTATACTTGGTACCTAGGCCACTTACAAAATTTTGTATGGTGCTGCTGTTACGTTTGTTTTCCTTCTTTTAGAAGAAGCATTTTTATTTCGTCACTTAATGGTTCCTTGTTTGAAAATCAGCTCATATTGTCTGATGATAGCAATTAGGATCAGTTTCCCTAACATTTTCTTTTGGGTTGGGTGGGGTGGTAAAATTAGCACAGCATAGCGATTAGTCCTTTTGATGAACATTTAACTTAAAAAAAAAAAAACAGCTCTGATACGGTTTATATGGAATTGCACATCTTTTTTCAAGCTGTTCCATTGGTGATTTATGTAGTCAATATTAGAGTGCCATTGTTGAGATTCTTACTGAAAACATGTCCTTTAATATAGGTAGTTGTTGACAAGGTCTCTGGACGCTCTCGTGGATTTGGGTTTGTCACTTTTGATCAGAAGGATGCAATGGAAGATGCCATTGAATCAATGAATGGAATGGATTTAGATGGGCGAAGTATTACTGTTGACAAAGCTCAACCTCAGCAAGGTTCTGGTAGAGATCATGATAGCGGTTACACCCGTGACCGTGGTGGTCGGGATCATGATCGCAACCGTTATGGGGGTGGTCGGGGATCTGGTGGTGGAGAGTGCTTTAAGTGTGGAAAGCCAGGGCATTTTGCTAGAGAATGTCCTGATGAAGGGGCTCGAGGAGGGAGGTATGGTGGCAGGGATGATAGGTATGGTGGCGGTGGCGGCGGCGGCGGTGGGCGTTATTCTGATAGGAATGGAGATCGATCTGGTGGACGCAAGTATTCTGGTGGTTACGGGGGAGGCGATCGACGTGATCGCTCTGGACCATATGATCGGGGTACTGGAGGTTCCCGATTTTGAAAGAATGACTTCTTAAACTAGTGGTATGCAACATATACTGAGCTTTGTGAATTCTTCAGGTCTATTTAATACTGACTTAATCTATTTCCAACGGCCTATTGCAGCTGTAGAACTGGGATGTTGCTGCTCCTGGATGCAAAGTGGCGGAAGTTTCTTCTGTTAGGATGTCTTCTCTTCTTAATGTTTGGGCAAATTTAGTGGATGAATATTTCTAAAGTGTGAAATTGGCACCAATGATCTGCTATTTTATGTCCCTTAAATGTTGGATATTCTGGTCTGATGGAGTCATGGTTGCTTGACATGCACATTCAAATCTAATCTTACTCTTTTGATTGTCGTAATTGCTGCTGGATATCTACTTTCTTGCATAAGAAATTGCAATTTCCGTTATTGCTGCTGGATTCAAAATGATTTTCTTGCATAGGCAATTGCACATATTTGGTTTGAGATGGTTTCTCTGGTAGACCAATGGTGAGAACTTGGTGATTTTGGTGATTTCACATAATATTTTTGGGATCCACCTAGGGTGTTTGCTTCTTTTTGGGATATAAAGGCTGTCTTAGAGGCGTGATTCCCTTCCCGTTCTTCTAAACAAGTGTTCTAAGAAATAAAGAGGAGTTAATCGGGTAAACATCTTTATTCTTAGCTTTATTTTCAAATCTAATATAATATTTTAATGGATGCTAGAAAATTACTTTTTAGTTCTTGTAATATTAATATTGTTAACATTTTGGCAGGCTACATTGGTTATTTTTGGTCTTTCTGGATACATGATTGGGTCTCTTTGTTGGTATACGTATTAACATATAAAAATTTGAGAAAATATTTTGGGCAGCGACCAGCCACCGGCAAGTTAATTCACCATAAGGCACTCTTATCTTCTGCACAGAGCACTGATCGAGGAGATCCATTTTACCAAAACACGTGACGGGTTGCTTGGAAGCTCTTGAAGAGTTCAGCAACTGCTGTCAATTATTTCATTGTGGTTCTCTGTTCCATGTTACTTTATTGGAGAGGTTCTTGCTGTTCTCCATTTGTGATGTCTTGTTGGTCTTATTGCTGAGATCCGGATAACTGGTTATGTTTCCTTCAAATCCGCTTACTGTCCCTGTCAGCTAGTGGTTCCTATGATCTGTGCCCTTTGACCTTGAGGACACAGTTCCACCTCTAAATTTTCAATTGGATACTGCAGCCTCTCTTTAGTCCCAAAGTGTCTTTGAAGGATAAATGATTCTTGGGATTCATAGCGATTCTTTTTTTCTTTATGTGCTTTTGGCTGCTCATGGCTTTTCTGTTCACGTCTCTCTCTCATTGCTTCACAAGACACTTTTTCCTGTTTTATCTTTTTTAAATGTTTTAACTTCTGCATTTTTTTCCCCACTCTAACATGTTGATCTGTAATGCACTTAATGTTGTCTGTATATGACATGTTTGTAGTTTATTACTTGCCTCCTGTTTGCTTCAGTTGTACTCCCTACTGTTGCAAGAATAATAAAGGGAAAAAAAAAGGTTATTTGTTGGAGTTTTATTTGCTGTTGAGATGACTATTGTAATATTTACAATTTTCTTCCCTGTGGCTCTGTTCTCTTGCCATGGACAATATTTTATGGAGCAATGAATATGTGATTCTTTTAGTATTATTGTTGTGTGACTTGTGTCTTTAGGGCATAGTTTTTCTTTTTATTCATAGTCACTTCTGTTGATCATCATCCCTAGGTTTTGAAGTGGTGGTTGTTCACACGCATGCACCTGTTCGTGTAGGTGCCTAAATGATTATGTGGTATTTGCTCCTCGTAAAATGATTTACAGTTTTATCATTGTCATAATTCCACATGTTAATGTTTGCCTTGTACCTTGTTGAAGTATTTGTTTCAGTGTGTTGTATGAATTTTATTTCGGTTATGGAGCTTTCAATTATAAAACACTTGGAAGCTTTGAGTGAATTTTTGATGGCTCTTGCTAAGAGAACTAAGATCATGAAGCTTTGAATGAATTTATTGCTGCTTGTAGATGGTTTGAAGCCTATAAGGGTAAAAAGGCTGTCTGCTTATTTGTGTTTCTATTTTGTGTCTGGAGAATGCATGGCTGTGTTGAATGATAGCAGTATTGTTACTTGTTATGAGGGCGGACATTGCATATTAGTTCAGCCTCTGGTAATTGTGTAAAATGTGATTCTCAATGATTCAGCTTATGGCATTCTAATACCACCGAGTATTATTCTGAACTTGCATTTTAGGATTCAGGTTTTGGATGATCATAAAACAGAAAATTATTTTCAGATAACTAATCAAAATAGGTTTTTATTTTTTATTTATAACTAAGCTTTTATAAAACAGTTTTTCAAAAATTAAACTATAAGCATACTTTTTGTACTTTTATTTATTTATTTTTAATTATCTGAAAACAAAAAATTATTTTTGGAGTGATAAACCAAGTAAGATTCTAATTTTTGGAGTTTTAGATCTGAAAATTTATTATTATTATTATTATTTTTTTGAAAAAAAGGAAGAAAAAGTATTAAAGAAACTTTCTAGTCGTGTCAATTTTTTACGAAAACTTTAAAGTTTCTCAGAGTACAATTAACCTCGTGAATAACAAGCGAAGGTCTTTTATCATTAACACAAATTTAAAATTTTCAAGGAACATAATTTTTTTATGAGGTTGATCTTGAGCGGCCATCCAAGCACAAATATCTTTATTTAAGAAAATATTTTTGGTGCATCTGTATGGTGAAATCTCTAAGAGTGGCTCTTACCTAAGCCTTTCATCATATTGACAACCGATGATGTTTGTTTGTGTAAGCTGGTGCTGTAAGTCAGGTTTCTGTATCTTTAAGATGGAAGGCTTGTCCTCTGTTGATTCTCTTCAAGGTAGAAACCAATAAACAAACTCAATTCTATTTAAATTGTTATTGAGAGAAAACGAATTATGTTACAAGAATAATATTAGGCTGTTCTTGACTTCTTATTTATCATATTGCTAAACTAGAATCTTAGTTTGAACCCTAGACAAGCATGATTTTGATTTGTTTACTGCAAAACCTGAACCTGGTCATGTGTTTTGAAAAACGTGACCGCCAAGTGTGTAAAGCGGACAAAATATACATAGCAAGACTGATTGTGACAAGTTTACGTAATTGCATAAGAAGAAGACTGAGTAAAATCAATTCAAGTAAGGGCCTTTTATCATTTTTGTTAAACAATGAAATCAATGCAATTCAAGCAAAATCTTGGTTTTAGAAGTCAACAGAGTACTATTTTTCAATCCAAACAAAATAAAACCGTGAAGAGGTTGGTCACACTTACATAAGTGGATATTTTATGTAGATACAGTTTTGAAAATCGTGAATACTGAGTGTGTTAAGCAAACAATATTTATAATAAGACTGATTGTGACAGATTTGCATAATTGCACAAATCTTGTATATAACAAAAGGTTTTTTCATGTTGTGGATCATGAAAATTTTCTCATAAATTATAATTTGCCATATTCATGTTGCATAAGTTGCTTTTTTTTTTTTTTTTTTTTTTTTTTGGGTGCATAAAGAGGAAAGGAAAAGAAAGGGATTAAAAATTGACAATCACAATTGCATTCCACTAGAGCCAATCAACTTGGTGAGTCCAAAAGTGATAGCCATGGCCATCCACCCTCCAACCAAAACCCTAGCACAAGACCTCACCACATGAGTTCCCCCCAAAACAGCTCCAACCCATCCAAACACTACCAATGCCAAGCTCACTGCACCAACCACCACACCAAGCCTCACCTTATGGTCTACTATAAATGCAGCTGCAAGTAATGGCACCATGGCCCCTAGTGAAAAGGCTAGGGCTGATGCCATAGCTGCCTGCATTGGATTTGGCAGCTGTTCCTTCTCTCTCTCCTCTTCCTTCTCTCCTCTCTCTCCCACTCTCTTCTCTCTCTTCATTTGAGCCACCTCAATCTCCAGCTGAGAGTATACTGAGACAAACTCCCCTATTGCCATGCTACAAGCTCCGGCAACCAGCCCTGCAAAGCCGGTTAGGACCATGGCTCTTGCGTCTTCATTAACAGCTCCAATGCCTATCATCAATGAAGCAATGGTAACCAATCCATCATTGGCTCCCAACACCGCGGCTCGGAGCCATTGTGCCCTTTGAGAGTAGTCAAAATCCTTGAATCCTTGTTCCTCAATGTCATTTTTAGGAATTGAAATTTGGACATCATTTGGTGCAGCCATGAGGAAATAGTAGTAAGCAAGCCAAAGGCTAACAAAGTAAGAGAAATGAAGAGGTTATAAGTGCTTGTGGATGGCGCACACACCCCTCATGAAGGGTATATATAGAGGGAGAGTACGTTGGTTTAGGAAGTCTATGGTGGTTATGGACATTAGTATGCAAAAAGTGAAGAAATTGTGGAAGACACAAGGCCTTGATGATGGGTTTTATTTAATGAATTTCCTTGGGTGACCTACTCTTTAAATTGTTACGTTATATATATATACATACATATATATATATATATATATATGTTATGACAAATGCAACGAATCCAAATTGAATCAAGAATCATGATAAAAAAATAAAAACGCCACACAAAGAACACAGATTTATACGTGATTCGGTAACAACTTACGTCTACGGTTGGAATTCGGCGAAAGTTCTCACTGTGTAAAATCAGAGATTACAAGTTTTCAGCCCCACTCTGTTTTTGTATGAATTTCAGAGTCTCTCTCTTTCTCCACTCCAAAACCTAAGCGCCCTTATATATTGGGTTATAGGAAAATAATTAGGGTCCATAACCATGAGTAAAAAAAGGGTCAAAAAATTTTCCTCGACTTGGGCCCACACAAAGCTTGTCCAATTGGTCGTTGGGTCATAAGCGGGTCACAACGCGACCCAGCACCAAATTTGGACCACAATATCACAATATATATATATATATATATATATATATATATATTATCCTTAAGGGCTAGTTAGGTGTGGTGGAATGGAATGAGAATGGAAGTGAGAATGGAATGAGTAGGGAATGTTATGGTCATTCCTTTTGTTGGAATGTGGAATAATTTTAATGGAATGACCATTCTCCAAGAATAGTGAAGAATGATGATTCTAATTTTTAAATTGGCACCAAACACAAGAATGAAAAAAAAACCATTCCATTCCATTTTCTTTTATTTCATTCCACCACACCAAATTAGCCCAAAGTATATATGATTAAATTTGTGCAAATGGATTTTTGGGGTGCAAGCCTATTTTTATAACAGAACTAGTATTTACAATCCTGAATTTTCTATTATTTGCATAAAATAGTTATTTTACTTGAATGTGTGTTCTTACACTTAACTAGTGTTTATTGTCACAACATTAAAACTAAATGAAGTACCATACACAGTCTTTTATCTTTGGAGGAAAATATTTCTCAATGTGACAGTTTGTGATAACCAAAATTGTACAAGTCTTCTGGACTCGTGAAAAAAATAAAAATAAATAAGTGTTTCTGATTCTAGCATTTTGGTGCATATAATTATTAATATATAAGCATCAATTTCGTGATTATTTTAGTGTTATGCAATGGTTATGATACCTAAAGCATGATTCCACTAGAAGGGGTCAGTGCTTCTTACATGACCTGTTTATTACGTTTGAACAAACAACTCTTTTAGGAAGATGGAGTGGTGAATTGGACTGCACTCACAAAAATCACACACATTTTTTAAGATTATCTTGTTAGTATATTCGAGGGAGTGTGCTATCCACGCAAAAGTAGATATATATATATATATATATATATATATATTGATAAACAAATTGCAGGAGTGTGTGGTGCACACAAGCTCATCACCACCTCTTCACTATTTAAATCCATCAAAAGACAAAATTATACTTCTTTTTTAGCTCCTTTACCAACTCTCCATTCAAGCAACACAAACTATGGTGTGGAGTTGTGTGTGTGTGTGTGTGTGAGTTTTTTTTTTTTAAATGCCACTGAAGGATATCTTGATCCCATTCTTTGGTGGGTTGGTTGAGATCTTTTTGTTGTCCTTTTGTGACTATTATTATATTAGGTTATGGTCCTTGTAACAACTCCCTTTTTTTTTTTTTGGCAATCTGTTCTTCTCTATCATTGTAATTGGGATTGGGAAGACTTTCTTGTAATTCTGTAAAAAATTTCAAACACATTCAAATCCAATCTTTTAACACATTTGTTTTATATATTGAAATCTAAAACAAATGTGTTAAAACAAGATTTAAAGTATGTTGAAAATTTCTTTTCAACGTCATTATTTCTAACTTCAATGCACTTAAATCATGCTTCAACACTTTTATTCTCAGTGTTTAACTTTTTAAAATATAGAACCAATATGTTGAAACACGATTTAAATGTGATAAGAGGGAGGATTCCGACTCTAGTGACATTGAGTTTGCTGCATATTAGCTATTTTCAAAATAATTACTATATGTTACTATTTCTGGCAGTGCCATAGAGGCAATGAGAGACTTCAAATTTGCAAATGTGAACTCAAAAACACTGCTTGGAAGTGTGTTGATTATAAGAGGCATAAGCCATTATTTACCAGTGGTTGAAGAACTGGATAGAGGTGTAATCTTGAACTTATTGTTATGCACAAAGTGGCATTACCCAGTGCTCTAGTTGAGTACCTAACTCTCCGAACACGTATGCTCCCTTGTTTGCGGGAGAATTAAATAAATAAATAAAAACTCAAGCACAGCATCATTATACTTGTCAAATCTGGCACCAAGCGACGACCCTGTTAAGATGTAAGGATAAAACTCTTAGAAGTTATGTGTGTGGAAAGAACATGCATGACTTTCGTCATAAAACCAGAGGGTTTACAATGCAAAACTTCTATAATTCAACCAAAGGTCAGATCACTTTCACTTGTGGCATTATCAGTTGGATTTCAAGAGGATGTTGAAGAGCATTATTACTGAAAACAATTATCCAGGAGAGAGCAAGCGATAGTTCACTTCGTGCTCGCATACAGCTGCTGCAACAAGATGTCAAATTAGGAACCTCTTTCATCAAAGCCATGGATGAGAAATGAAGGATTATAGGCATAGGGGTGGTGTTGAATGCTTAGAAGCTATATGCTTAACCACCTGACTTCCTTTAGTCTTGTTCTCGAGTCCAACCTTTTTGTCTTCAAAATATCACCGACAAGTTTATGCAGCTCCGATTGTCACACACTTCAATGGGAAATTTAGAATCTTCACGATTTACCTAAGAGAAATTAGATCAAATGAAACTTGACAATTCTCTGAAAAATGAAATGGCAGAGTTTAAAAAAAGACGAGTGAAAACAGGCTCAAGGGAAAATTGAACCATATCAAGGGTTGATACACCTTCATTTGTTGTAAATAAAAGATTCCTGGGAATCCTGCAGCAATAGCAACTCTAATGTATAAGCCAGTTTCTTTATCTTATATGCCTTCTCAGCCACCATATCAGGTGTATGTAACTATGTATTAAATAGAATTCCCCTCATGAAATTTACATCCTTCCATCATGCACATTGAAAATATGTAATCATAAGAGCTCGCCTATCAAAGTGGCATGTAGCATTGACGCAAAAAAATTCAAGCCTTCTACCCGGGGGGAAGGGGAAAAAAAAAAAACTAGTCAATCAGTTTCAATTCTCAAATGGTGTGATCCTTTTAACGGCTAGGAATGAATCAAACCTAAGGCCTATTCCAACATCACCCTACCCTTTTACCACCTGATACGAGGCCAGAGGTTTCAAGAATGCATTTAAAAGAAAAAAACACTAATAAATATTCAGCATACAGGATTACCCATCAAAAAACAATGTATTCCTCACCATTATTACAATACAAAAAAGAACTGGAAGTCGATATCCTGGGCCTCTTTTTCATGTCTCTAAGCATCCTCATTTGTTATTGGAGGAATGTACAACAGATCAGAATCCAAGCCGCTTCACCACCAAGGGAACTCAACATTTGCTTTTCTATCCTTTGTCATTCCGTTGCCTGTAGATGGCAGACTTATCAAATGAATTTTATATCATCTGGAAGCGAATCAAAGACTGTGGGGTATCACAGCAAGTAATCGATATCTTAACAATTGGAAGAGCTGATAAAAGATTGAAGGCAGTCATATTCCATATCTTCAAAACTTTGCAACTCTCTAGAGAATCCACCGAAAAAGCCTATTTTGATGAGTCCGTTGAGTTGCATCATTTTAAAATAAGCATTTGTTACAAGTACGCATCATATAACTTCTCCATTAGTGGGTTAGATGCAACGTGTCTGTTCTAGTTGAATGGTGAGAAATTGAGATATTACGCGTAATATAGTTGGAGACAAGGTAGACTAGACTATGTGGAAGTGAGACAGAGAGTAGCAGCATCAAGATTAGCACAATCTCAACGAGGTCAGGACCTTTCTCGAGATTAGTCCAAGCCAAGAGAGGTGAAAGTCTCGTCTACTATTTCAAAGGTTGCAAAAATATCATGGTCTTACTCAATCTCAAGGGTCTCTGAGTGTTTTATGGCCTGTATCAAATGAAAACTAGAGGATTTATTGTAGCACATTGATAAAGACAAGAAAGTGCTCACAATAACATGAGGTTTAATAAAGTCAAGCCATGTGCAATACCCACGGTCCAGTGAGATGCCACAACGTAAACAGAACTCACATATAGGACATGCTAGCTAGGTTGCATTGCTGCTATCGAGGTTATAATGCATCAAATAGGGACAACAGTAGTGCCAGAATGGCACCAAGGCCTCCCCATTCAAGATAGTGTTGTGGTCCACAGGAAGTACCACAACATAGAGGCATATGTCATCTCCGAGTTGCATAATCTCTCTTTCAAAAGGCCAAGTCAAGGTGTGTGCAGGCCTCGAGGTGAGGCCAGATCAACAAGCCCTGGAATTCAGCTACCAGGCCAAGTATTCCTAAGATCCAAGTAAATAGTGACATGTCTAAATATCCTGAGATGAACCATAATGATAACTGTGCAAAGGGTTTTCAAATATTTATGTGCCACAAAGTAGGCCATGTTGACAACTAAGGGCGGCGGAGCCAGGTATTTGGTTCGGGGGGCATGTTAAGCATGATAAAAATAAAAAATAAAAATCCAACAAGCAAGAAGACAAGCAGCCGAAAAATAATAGTGAAATAACATGCATTAATGTATTTTCGTGACTAGTTATCTTTTTCCCCAATTTGACAAAGAAAACACAAAACAGAAAACAATTGTCAAACATGCGCCAAGCGTATAAAATTTCACTAATAAATTTGAAGAATAAGTGAATAAAAAATGAAAAAGAATTACGTTTTAATTGAATAAAGGAAATGCATTTTTTTTTTTTGAAGAGAATAAAAAGAAATTTGAAGAAGAGAATAAGGTAAGAAGGAAAATAAACAAAGAATTAATGATATTTTTAGGAAGAAAATAATAATTTTAGGGGGGGGGGGGGGGGGGGGGTGGGGGGGCATTTTATAAATTATATACATATAAATATAGTAAAAACAAGGGAAAATTACAATGACGTTCCTTGAGGTTTCGTCAATATACACTAACCTCCCCCCTTGTTTGCCACATTACACTTACCTCCCTTGAGATTTGTATGTAAATAACACATACCTCCCTTCTGTTGACGGTCAACGACGAAAAATGCTGATGTCAACAATTTTGTAACCTTCAAATTTCAATTCTACCCTTGGATATATAAGGGCAGAAACGTAATTACAAACCTGACAAGGGAGGTCAGTGTAATTTGACAAACAAGAGGGGATGTCAGTGTAAGGGGAGGTCAGAGTAATTTATCCTAAAAACAAAAGGGCTAGCATAGGCCCATGGTGGGTCCACCCTTATTGACAACAACAAACCAAGTTCTAGAAGGCTCCTAAGATAGCTTCAGACTGACATGATGCATCACGGTGCCTTTAGTATGAAGCATGACTGATAAGAGGTTTTCATGGTGGGAATCAAAAGAAAAGAGAACCACACAATAGTATTTAGAGATGCCTCTAGAGATAGCAACAAGACCTATCTGAGGAGAAGAGGTCCTTGCAAGTTGCAACAAAGCCTATCCTAAAATGGTGACTTATTTGATAATTGTATGTTGACTATACACAGATGGCACCTAGCTTGAGGTTGTTGTACCAAGTATAAGCATGGTGTAAGTGGCTCTGACAACTCGCATAAGTGAAGAATCCAATCATTCCTGAACATAGCAAATGACTCGATGAACAGGGTAGATGCTCTTGAGAGTTGCCTTTTCTCCCATCAAAATTGGTGAACTTTGGAGGAGCAAAATCCTCTGATATGACCAGTCAGTTGTCTTGTCAAGTAGGGAGGTATAACATGAGTTCTGGGATGTTGGGAGGTTGTCAAGAACACTCTTTTCGCAGAATGGGTTTGACCTCGGCAAGAATAACATATGAACCAGAGGATAGGGCAAGCTATCATGATAGTTGAAGTGACCGCTAGAATGTTTTATCATGGTGACACCACATTGTTGCATATGCAGGTAATTTGGTGTACGGAAACTGGGACAACATTGGCAGACAAAACCTTAAGAATGTCAAAATTCACTTCTAGGTCATGTTTCATCTAACCTAAATGGAGTCGAAAATTTGTGTGTGAATCACGAGAAGTCCCTGACTCTGCTACATAATGGTTCAGTAGAGTTGTGCTATAATGTAACTGATCGAACAACACTTGAGCGACCTCGAACTCAACCATGGTTCCTTCCATACATGATATTGCAAGAATACCTCATAGAATGTAAATTCTTGATGGTGAGTAGGAAATAGAGGTATTGCATGATATTATAGAAGAAATACAAGATAGAAGAAATAAAAGAGAAATGTGTATGAGGCTTGAATGAATATCTTCACTCATTCGCAACTCTGGTATTAATGTACTAAAAGAGCACATGTTACTATTACAAGAAAAGAAATTAAATAAAATCAAGGCAGATTCCATGCCTAGACATGCGTAAATAAAGTTAAATTCCATGATTCTACGCTATCATATCTTGGTTTTGGTTGATATGGTAAGTCAAATCCCATGATTCTAGGCTATCTATCTTGGCTAACACTCCCCCTCAAGTTGGTGCGTGAATATCTGAGACGGCCAACTTAGACAATGCATCGTCAATCACGGTCTCGTTGATGCCCTTTGTAAGAATGCCTGCAAGATATAGAGTTCTAGTGACAAACGGAGTGCGAATCTGACTGGATATGATCTTTTCCTGAATGAAGTGTCAGTCAATCCTATATATTACTTAGTCCTGTCATGCTGAACGAGATTTGTTGCAATATTAATGGCAAACTTGTTGTCACAGTTAAGTGAGAATGGAAGTGATATTGGAAGGTACAAGTTTGTCATCAACGTTTTCAGTTATAGCAACTCACACACTCCAAGAGCCACAGCCCTATATTCTACCTCTACACCCGATCGAGAGACAACATCCTACTTCTTACTTCACCAAGTAACCCAGTTGCCACCAACATTAGTACAATAGCCCAAAGTTGACCTCCTATCTGAAATTAATCTTGCATAATCAGCATCTATCTAAGCCTCAACATATAATTGACCATGATAGGCAAACAAAATACCGCCCGGACACCCCTTCGGGTAATGAAGGATCCAAATAGTTGCATTAAAGTGAGAGGTGTGAGGAGAATGCATGAATTGACTCACGACATAAGCAATGTCAGGTTGAGTCATGGATAGATAGATGAGTTTCCCAACATGTCGCTGATACTGAACATCATCTGACACTAGCTCCCCTCAGAATCAACCAACCAATAGTTTTGCTTAATTAGATAATCAACCGGATGAGTGCCAAGCTGGCCAAAAGCAGAAAGCAAGTCAAAAACAAACTTGCGTTGAAAGATTAAAATTCCAACCTTAGAGCGAGCCATCTCAGTGCTGAAGATGTACCAAAGGGGACTAAGATACCCTTTTTTTTTTTTTTGATAAGTAAAAATCGATTAGAAAAGCGTTCAAAAGGGTAATGCGTCCCTAATACAAAGGGGACTAAGATACTTATTCTCAAACTGACGGCCAAGATAGTTCTTAACCTCAGCGATTTCGGCAGTGTCATCTTTGATGAGAAAAATAACATTAATCCGCAGCACTAATGGAATTCAAACTGGAACATGTTAGTGCCAAAGCATTAAAGTAAGCTCGAGGGCATTGCTTGAGGCTATACAAGAAGCGATGAAGACGATAGACCATCCTGAAATGAGCAGGGGAGCGAAAGCCCAAAGGGGGAACCATATACACTTCCTACAAGTCACGATTGAAAAAGGCATTCTTAATATCTAACTGAAGTAGAGGCAGAGAATGAATCACAAATCACAGTAATAGAAAATAATACGAGGATGGTGTTCATCTTGGCAACAAGGGTGAAAGTCTCTTGATAATTGATGTCATGGGTATGAGCTTAACCCTTGGCAACCAACTGGGCCTTATAGCGAGCAACTGACCCATCTGGATTATGCTTAAATGTAAACATCCATCGACAACGCACAACCTTTCGTCCATTAAGAATCGGAACCATGTCCCAAGTCTGATTTTTTTCAAGTGCATGCAGTTCTTCAATCATATCGTCACGCCACTGAGGCAGTGCTAGTGCATCTTCAACACAAGAAGGAAGAGTAACCGAAGTAACATAATCAAGAAAACCCCAATAGGATGGTGAGCGAGTACAATCACAAACAATATTCGAAATAGAGTAAGTACAAGAATGTTTACCCTTTCGAAGAGCAATAGGATGATTATCGAGTGGAACAACAACTTGAGTAGGCGGAGTTGGTGCCAAAGGGACAAGGCAGTCGATTGTGGGAGTAGAAGCTTGAGCCTATTGTCTACGACTGTAGACTTGTGAAAAAGGAACAATTCCCCTTTGCTGGAGGGGTATCATGAGTACGAATAGTAGAAGAGGAAGCACGAAAAGGTAGAGGAGTTGAAGACGGAAATATGGGTTTGAAAATTTCATGTCTAGTGTCCCTACCGAGGTCCTCTGATGAAATGAATTGTCACAATGAGGCAACTTAGTACACACAGTTAAGCCACATCTTGTCTATAAAGGTGACAATGTGGCACATTGGAACAACAATCCGGTGTTGGGATGGTACAAAAGCAGGGGACACTGGATTGTTGTTCCAATGTGCCACATTATCACATTTTGTAGACAAAATGTGGCTTGTGGCTTAACTATGTGTATTAAGTTGCCCCATTGTGACAGTTCATTTCATTGGACCTCCGCAAGGACACTAGACATGAACTTTTCAGACCCATATTATAATTGTTAGCCGAGATACGATAGCCTAGAATCATGGGTGCTGCAAGCTTCTCCCAGTGTCTCTCTAATTTGACCCAATTCTACCCTTTCTTCCACCCCTACATTACTGAGATCTCTCTGAAGGCTTGTCCCTTATCAGTTTTGTGCCAGAGCTCTAGGTTTTCCCTAATATTTTCACAACACGGGAGACCCTAGAATGCTGATTTGAGGGATATATAAGTAAACATTTGGCTAACCAGATTGTCACATCAATTGATAACCTAATGGATTGAGTAGTTTACTACATAAGCGAATATTAGACATCCACATCTTTATCCTCACCCATTGTCCTCATGCAGATCATCTGTTATCCTACATCTTTCCACCCCCTTATAAAACCTTTGCAACTTCCCCATGATTCATTCATATGGGCTTTCTTGTCCAAGAAAGAGTTCAAGTCTGTAACAGACTCATTACATATGTTACAGAAAAGTTCAAAATAAATATATTAAGGTGTCAATGAGAGTATCAAGTCAGGCAACATTCTACAATTCGGATATCAAAATCACAGCCATGAAACTCAAGATTACAAGAACGCTTAATATTACATTTTACCCTATCATCTGATAGAAAAGGCAGGCAAAGTTTAATTAGTGGAACCAATTATTGCTTGATAGACATTCCCGAACACCATTTCTTCAGAATGTGGTGCGACACAGAATAACCCAAGAAAGTCTATGCTGCAACATCCAAGCGGCACGCCCACCCAAAAAAAATCCAAGTGGCAGAGGACGTCGTCTTAAGTCTTGCAGCAGTGACAACTAAACCTCCAAAATTTTCAAGTTACTAGGGTCTGGGATTTACTGGGTAATCAGTGCCAGCAGTTCCTAAGTAGTATGCTTAAGTTGAAGGCTGCAAAATCGATTGAATGAAGATTTCAAATGAAAGAAGTTGCAACTAAATAATTGAGAATAAGAGGCAAAATGGGAGAGAGAGGATTGAATCAGCACTAGGCAAGAGATTAAAGAAAATCAACGGGCCAGTGGCCTAGCGGTATTAGCCTCTTACTTCTCAAAGGGAGGTCAGAGGTTCAAGTCTCAGAAGAGACAAATGTGTGTGAGTATCAACTAGGAAAAAAAAAAAAAGAGATTAAAGAAAGAATTCTTCAGAAGAATTACTGAAAGAGAATGGGAAAATAAGCCATCATAAAAATGCAAATAAAGCTTTATTATCGATATTCATGAAATAAAAAGCACAGACATTAAGCTTTATTAACTACATTCATGATATAAGAAGCAACACATAAATTAGAACATTATATTTTCATGGCTGTAAAGTCAGAACTAGAAACTAATTGTAACACGTCCAGCAACCAACTGCAGATATTGAGAAAAACAGTAGCTAATGATTACTTGTTTGGTTGGTCAGAACTTGGAAGCAAATAACTAGAAGGTCTGCCTCCTTTTTAATTGTACTTGAGGTGTTCAGTGAATGGACATCTCGGCTATATCAACTTCTCCACATTTAATCCATAACAGAATTCTTTAATCATTAGTGTCAGCATAGTATACAGCACAGCCATCATAACAAAATTATGTAAATATAGGTTCCGACTACTTAGTTCTTGCAAAAGAAACAAAATGAAGGTCTCTCTACTTAGTTCTTGCAAAAGAAACAAAATGAAGATCTCTCTTACGTGATTAAAATTTTGACAAAGAAATTCCAGGGTTAAGCAAGTGTCCAAGTATTACAAACCATCAGTAAGAAGCAGCCATAATCAGAGTCCCAAGATCTAGCCTGGTGACCCTATTCGGACTATTTCTGCTAACTATGTGTACTAAAACAGTCAACTCTAGTGGGTTAATTTAATTATGGTCACACTTACACTCTAGCAATGAACTACATATTTCAATATATATATATAGTAGGAGTTATTCCTTGGTGTAATGATTAAAACTTGGGCTAAATGTAAATTCATAAGCCACAAGGACAAGAGAAATTAATGGGGTTAAAATGTTCTAAAAAAAACCTCCAATATTGTACCCCAGTTTCTGTCAGATGGTCTATTTATGAAACTAAAGCCTAGTCTTCATAGTATGAACTACCACAACAGAAGAATCATCCAGAATTTGTTGCATAAATATAGAATCATAGAAACCTGTACAGATCTTAAATTTTGGACAAAACATGAATATTGGCCCTTTCTAGCAATGAATTACATAATTCAATATATATATATAGTAGGAGTCATTCCTTGGTGTAATGATTAAAACTTGGGCTAAATGTAAATTCATAAGCCACAAGGACAAGAGAGATTGTACCCCAGTTTCTGTCAGATGGTCTATTTATGAAACTAAACTTCATAGTATGAACTACCACAACAGAAGAACCATCCAGAATTTGTTGCATAAATATAGAATCATAGAAACCTGTAGAGATCTTAAATTTTGGAGAAAACATGAATATTGGCCCTTTCTAAATTTTCCTCCAATATAATGTTTGTGAGAACTCCACCAATGTCATGCCCATGGTGTTATCCTCATATAGCCGATTCAAAACCCGGAATAAGGAGGACAGTTGTGTTAGATAACTAACAGACAATGTAAAACCTTTGATTGGTTCTACAAGTAAATCTTGAGAATATTCGAGTAAATACTAGGGTAATTTCCTAAAGTTATGTGTTGCATTGGTACCCAATTGCTTCAGAAAATGGGCAAGGGTGTCGCAGTAGTTCTGAAAGTGGTGAGATTTGCGAAGAGTTCCAAATGCTATTCTGGAATAGTGTGACTAGAGAAGCTAGTCCAAGATATTATAAACACATTAACAAAGCTATCAAATCTACGATTTCCACCTTGTTAGTAATATGCCTGACCTGATGGTTTAGTGTGGGTACTTAAGCCCCACCACTCCACACTATACAAGATGGCAATTTACGTGATCTATTCAGTTAGTCACATGGAATTTAAACAAAAAGCCATATCCACTCCTGTATAATGGCACATCATCATTATCATATTAACTTTAGTCCATACAAATGAGGTCGGCCATGTGGATTCTCTTTTTCTCCATTCTCTTCTATCATAAGTCATTTCTCCTATCAGATTTAATTTTTTAAAATAATTTCTTATTACTTAGCTAGTTTTGGTTGGCCTCTTTATCTCTCAGCTGTTTTTTTTTTTTTTTTTTTTTTTTTTTTTGATAAATAAAATGTATTAGATAGCGTTCAAAAGGGGAACGCATCCCAAGAGATATACAAGGAACCAAACCAAAATACAACCCTATGGACCCAAAGAACCCAAAAAGTCCACAATCTCATCTAGAGATATACAATTTCTCACCTATAGAAACCAATCTTCCTTTTTCTCAGTGGTGCATCCGCCTAAGTCTACTTTCTGTTATTTTCTCAGCGGTCACATGATAACAAGTGGTAGTCTACAAATAATCAACTTTCCAGTTAAACCACTCCCATTCTAATTAAATACAACTGTCAAAGAAATCTATGGAACTTGGCCTATTCAATGCTGTTAAATTGATGTATTTAATTTAGGCATTTGAAGGAACAAATCTAGGAACCTAAAATCAATTTTTGTTCTATTGCAAACTCTAGAATGTGCAGGAATTACAAAGAGAAATAATGAACCTTAATGGTAAGTTGGTTGCTCATGATGGCAAGGCAAACAACTAAGTACAAATCCGCTTCTAGGGACAATTTTTACCAATGATGAACCTCGTCACCGTAATGCAAGTAGTTAAAAGTTCAACACTTGATGCAAAGTTGAACACTTGTTGAGAAATTGGATATGGAAAATGTACCACTCGTCACTAGGATGTATAATTCACCAGTCATAATAGAAGCAAATTCACATACAAATCCCATCAATAACAACTAACAGTAAAGATAAGATATATATATATATATATATATATATATATATATATATATATATATATATAAAGTAAATGTTTTATGTCTACCTGTTTGTGTCAGGACTGTTCTTGGGATGAATCCCTATCGCAAGCAAGAGCTTGCACAGGAATAGCACAAGACTGAGCTGAAGCATCAGATAATCTTTTGCGTCTCTTGTAACAATGCACCAGTTGTTTAGCAGCTATAGCCTTTCTTTCAAGGTTAAAACCGTCGTAAAGTAACTTGGTCTTATTTGAAATTGCTTTGGAACCAACAGCTCTCCTGCTATACTTTATCAAATTGTTAACTGGCTTCCCGTTGCATCTTCCACCATGTTTCTGACAAGACTCGGATTCAGAATTCACTCCACTGTCATCATCTGAATTGCATTTTCCATTAAGGCCCACATCCCAAACAATTTCACTATTTTCCCGGCATTCCTCGCTCCTTGTACTAGTTATTATACCAACCATATTGCCTGATTTTAAATTTTCCAAAACAACACAAGAACCATCATCTGAAGCTCTTACACAAGCTGATGGCTCTGAAATGCTTCTATCAAGATTCTCAATGAACTTATTTACCATGAGCTTCCCACAAGCACTAGAACTAGAACTCCCTCTTGAGCCCAACACTCTACTGGATAAATTACCATTACATTCCCACATCTTTATAGCATCCAAACGACTTAAATTTATAGAGCACAGGTTCTTTGAAATCCTCGGTGAACTATTTATAGCACGATGCAACTGAAATGCCAGTTCAGCATCATCCACAACCGTAGTCGTGGTAGTAGCAGAAGCACTACAACTGCTCACCAAACTTTCAGCTTTTTCATCACTCTCATCTTTCTTCGTCACCAAATCCAATGCACCATTCGCGAATTCCACAGCCCTTTTTGCCATCACAGCTTTCCTCAACGCATTCTCTTTGGCCTCGGCAGCAGCTGCAATTTTCTTCTGAGCTGCGCATTTAGCATTATTTGCAACATCCACAAGTGACTTACATCCACCTCCATTAACCGAAACCCTAGAATCACCCGGTTTTGTTACACTCTTCTTATTACTCTTCCTTTTATAAACCCTATGCGAATTTGAAAGCAATTGCGGAACCCAACAGTCGATGCAAACCGAAAACCCAGATTCCACGCAACAATACGACCACGGTGCAGAACACCTGTACTCCAAAACGCAACTCTTGTGAACCCGACGGACACAGTCGCGACATCTGAAACAATTTTCCTCGGCTGCGGACGTTTCTGAAAAACAGTAGGAGCACAATTCAGCCGACTGGACACGTTTTATGCATTTTTTGCAGAGGAGGACGATGCGCCAAACGCTGTCTAGCGTTTGGAGTTTGTCCTTGGGGTCAGTGTTGTTAATTCGTAGTCCACAACTGTGGCAATCAGACAAATTGGGCAAATCTCTGGTTTTTCGACAGAATCTATCCGACGAGGCGTCAGAGGACAAGACCGAGGCTGACGATGCGGTTGAACAATGGTTAGGGTTTGGATCGATGAGAAGACGCTTCCGAGATGGAGAATCAGTGGGAATTGAATCGGAAGCTGCTTCATCGGTGGATTCTTTTCTATCATCGTGCGCTTCGTTGTCTCTCATCGTGTGTGTGACCGGCTTTGCAGAGAATTTTCTAGGGTTTACGGAGACATTTTGGGATTGTACTGAACTACTAAAATTTTCATCTTGTCGGATTTTTTAGGGTTTTAGAGAGTAACTAAAACCGTTGGGTGATTTGAATAAAAATCGGGGTGGGGACGATAGTGTACTGTGGGCACCCGCCCTATCCCAAAAAACCCCACCCACCCGATGATTCTTTAAAATAAATATATAAAAATTCAACAACTATATATACATAATTAGAAATCTTCGTTTCTATAACTCTCTCAAAAACAAATTTTCAATTTTAGATAGATATAAAATATTCTTTTAAAATAAGTAAATAAATAAAATTCAACAATTATATAGTACTACATAATTAGAAATTTTACAAATAACTAAATAAATAATACAACAGTAATTATTGATAATACATATGTAATACAAATATTAACTGCGGTTTCTATAATTCTCTTGCATACGTGGTGGGTCTCACTATAATCTAGATCTCCACATATGCAGAGGGGATCCATCATTTAGTGTTTCGAACAAGTTTCTCTATGTATAGTAAGGTTTACGCATATGTGAAAAAAAGTTCTAACATCAATAGTTGCATATTTTCGATCTTTTCAATAATAAAATGAATTGAGAGATATGTCTTTACGTTTTTCTTTCTACACTATTATTTTGATTAATATAACTTCAAAATATGAGTTTTTTTTTTTTTTTTTAAATATGAGTATGATGACTTAGATTATCTATAAAAAAAATCGTTTCTTAAATAATTTAATTAAAGCTACAAACAATTAAGTAGAAGTAGTTATAACAAAATAAATTTCTACATCAAATCTGATATGGGAAGAAAGCTTATATGGTATTAGTTATGAAATTATGAAAGAAAATAATGTTTTTGCTGGAAAAAAAAAAGAATATTGAAGAAGGTTGAAAAATAAAATATCAAAATTAATGAAACTTTCAAAATGTTAATTTTACCCCTGAATTTATGAAGGACAAAAGTAAAATACCACTAAATACTCACCTGTAAAATTGATATAGGTTGTCCTTGAATGCACATGCACCGCACGTGACCCCCGGGTGAGAGAGAAACAGTTTACGTTCTCAATGGCATTTAGGCTCCCGACTCTATATTTCTAATCGCACTCGTGTGTCTCTAACCCTCTGAAGAAGTTACGTTTCAATCGCCTCCTCTAAGGTACTAAACTATCACTTTCGAACACACTTCAATCATATCTGCAATTCTTATACAAATTATCATTGTAATTATTTAGTAATCGAACAGTTCCATTCTTGATTTGTGCTTCTGTGACACTTCTTCTCCCTGGTTCTGCTTTGTTTCATGAGTTGCTGACACATTGAAATACCGTCAATTAGGTTAATTTCTGGCTTGAATAGCCATAATTGGAGGTGTTGAAATGTTTACTGGTGAATCTAATCTTGACAAGACCGGAGGATTTCGATCCCTTGGCGGTTATAAATGATCCTTTGCCGTCGGCTGTTGATGATGGAGAGAAGAAGGAAAGGGAGATTGTGCTTGGAAGGAATGTGCATACAATGTGTCTTGAGGTTAAAGAGCCCGATGCTGACGATGAGGTTACAGGAGAGAGGGAAGCTTATATGGCTGGTGTATTGGCAAGATATAGGAAGTCTTTGATTGAAAGGACCAAACACCATCTGGGTAACAAAGAATGCCTTTTTCTGACCTTTGGGGTTTAATTTTACTTTTATGAATGTTCATTTATTGTCAAGTTTGGTGCATTATACATTTTGGCATTATGTATGACAAATGCAGATGATTAAGGGGACTCTATGTAGATTGATTGTTTTGTGAGAATTATAGTTGAATTTTTTTTTTTAATAAAAATGATTTCTTTTAGGAATTGCGCGTCTTTTAATTGCCTATGTACTTAAGTGATGAGGGTGATAAGGTAATGGAATGATAGGGATAGTGCTTTGATAAAATAACATGACATCTGGATAACATAAATTATAATTTATCACAAATGTTAGTTATGTGCATCTGTTTCGCCATGTTATGTGAGCAAAAATCATGTTAGGTTTATTAGAAAATGTATGATGTATCACTTGTCTGTTCATTCATACTTGCAATATGATTAAAGATGAGGATGTCTTTTGCGTGATAAGATTGTTCAAAGTATTTTGATCACACACTCTTTAGGGTTGGTGACTTAGAGGTTGTAAGATTTAGGTGGCAATTAATAGATCAGATGGTCCATATTTATCATAAGAATATAATATGGATGAAAATGATTATATTAATTATAGGTATGCTTGATGGAACTGTGCATCTAGGTTAATGCAGGAAACAGCTGAATTTGTTTAAATTGGGGAGGTAGTTTTAGAAAGGTCCAGGGTAAAGCTTGGTTCAACTTGAATCAAGACATGGGCATTTTGGGGACCTGCTTCAACCTTGTGATAAGATCATAATTAAACCTATTCCATCTAGTGTCCAGAAGGGCAACTAGACAGTTAATGTTTTATGCCGGATAGCTTGAGACTTGTTCAACCTCCCCCACTGCTCTTCCGACATATTATACCATACCCTGTTTGTAATATAATTCTTCCGAGTGCTCTTCATCTTTCCTCCTTCCCTTTATTCTTCTCCATCTTTCCCCTATCTTTCTTCTATTCTTGGTACCAAAGTCATAGAACCCTGACAAGTTAATTATGCTTTGTGGTCATAGTATAGAATAATCTTTGACATCAAACACCTATAACTACCTCTACTATTTTCAATGTTAATTTATTGTAGTCTTCATGGTACTGCTTAAGGAATAGGATTTTATTCTGTTAGGTAATAAAGCATTGGCCATTCCTGTGAGTTGTTTTACGCGTTGTGAGTCCCTCTTGTAAGATTCATCAACGTTGGAATCAACAACTTCAAGTATCCTTCCTGAAACTACTCTTATCCAGAATAATCAAACCAGAAATCACAAAATGATAGTGTTAAATTACTTTTTGATATCATCAATGCTACTGGTTCAAGAGTTACATTTTGGAACTGAAATAGAAATAAATCTGGAAACCTCTCATTAAAGTTCTACCTTTGCATATTCATTTATGAAAATCAGTATTCTGTTACAGGGTACCCCTATAATCTGGATTTTGATTATGGTGCCCTGGCACAGTTGCAGCATTTCTCCATCAACAACCTTGGCGATCCATTTATAGAGAGCAACTATGGTGTCCATTCCAGACAGTTTGAAGTGGGTGTATTAGACTGGTTTGCGCGTCTATGGGAATTAGAGAAGAATGAATACTGGGGTTACATCACAAATTGTGGCACAGAAGGCAATCTTCATGGTATATTAGTCGGGTTAGTAGCAACGAGCTTTATTCCTTTGAGCTTTTTCTTTTTAAGATGATATAAACTACTGTTTCTATTTTCAAAACAAAATTAGAAATATACTGGTTTTGCAGGAGGGAAGTGTTTCCTGATGGAATTCTATATGCCTCACGTGAGTCGCATTATTCAGTTTTTAAAGCAGCATGAATGTACAGGATAGAATGTGAAAAGGTCAACACTCTAGTCTCAGGTGAGATTGATTGTGAAGATTTCAAAGCTAAACTCCTTTGTCACAAGGACAAACCAGCTATTATCAATGTAAACATAGGTATTGCTCTCTCTCTCTCCCTCCCCTTCTTCTCCAAACCCCCACAATGTGATATGATGCATGCCTCACCCATTATGTTTTTGAAGGAACAACTGTTAAAGGAGCCGTTGATGATCTTGATCTTGTTAGACAAACCCTTGAAGAAATAGGATTCACGCATGACCGGTTCTACATCCATTGTGATGGGGCTCTGTTTGGCCTCATGGTGCCTTTTGTCAAGCGTGTAAGTTTTCAGTGCTTTCCTGAGTAAGTGCTCACTTTTCTGGTCAGAAGATGGGTTGCATTTTCCAGAATGTTGCTTACTTGATGCATATATATATATATATTTATTGGGGAAGTTAGAAAATTCCATCAGTGAGTTTCAGCCTGGAAGATAATTAGATGAATATCTTTCCTTTTGCTGATGTTAAGCATTTGATTTAAGTTCGTGTGCTACTAGTGTAATGTTATTGGGTGTTGGACAAATGTGGTACGATCAAATGGTTAGGATCTCCTTGGTTGGACTCACTCATTTAACAGTGGATCCTGTACATATTCCTTGTTTTTGGCATGAGAAACACAAGTGCGTGGTTGTTGAAGGTGCGTTGACTGCAAATGGGATGAGTTAGTCCCTACTTGGTTCTCGTCCTCGGACACACATATTGAACACTTGCCAACCCAAAAAAGAAAAACTTTAGAAATTGTTCCCTTCCATTGTCAATACTTAATTGATTGCAAGATGGAAAAAAATAGTATCTTCCAGAAATAATGTTTGGAAGTGATTTGAAAGTAGCAAATATCTCTTATGAGCTTGATTTAATAAATAGTAATTATATAGGAATAGCCTCCCTCTCTTGTTTCCCACTTGTGTATGCTTGTCTTCAATATTAGTCATGATCTTAATTATAAAGGGAATTCTGTTATACAAAAAGCCAGCAATGAATCTTTCACATTACTATAGTTCTTTAGCCATTTTAATCTCCGTTTATATAATCTAAATAGCATTTCAAATTAATTTTGCAATTAAAAAAATTAGAAAATTCCTTGTGCTCATTGTTTTTGGTGATGACTAGGCACCAAAAGTTACTTTTAAGAAGCCCATTGGAAGTGAGTGTCTCAGGCCACAAGTTTATGGGATGTCCAATGCCTTGTGGTGTCCAAATAACAAGATTGGAGCACATTAATGCCCTCTCAAGGAATGTGGAGTACCTTGCTTCTAGGGATGCAACTATCATGGGAAGCCGGAATGGCCATGCTCCAATCTTCCTCTGGTATGCCTCAAACCGGAAAGGATACAGAGGATTCCAGAAAGAAGTCCAGAAATGCCTCAGAAATGCACACTACTTGAAAGACCGTCTTAACGCTGCTGGAATTGGAGCAATGCTTAGCACAGTTGTGTTTGAATGTCCACAAGATGAGGAGTTTGTTCGCAAATGGCAGCTTGCTTGCCAGGGTAACATTGCTCATGTGGTGGTAATGCCCAACATCACTGTTGAGAAGCTTGATGATTTCTTGAGTGAGCTTATTGAGAAACGTGCTACATGGTATCAAGATGGAAAACTTCAATCTCCTTGTGTTGCATCCGATATAGGTATGGAGAATTGTCTTTGTGGTTTACACAGGTGAGGGACTCTTGTGCTTTCAGAGCTATTACATTTTGTTGTTTGTTATCTGTATCAAAGACTGTTTCTTATTAGATATTAGATGAGTTCCATGTGCTGTTCAATTTTACTCTTATCAGATATTAGTGGAGTTCAACTCGCTCTTCAATTTTATTCCTATCAGATATTAGATGAGTTCCACTCGCTCTTCAATTTTACACTTCGCCTTCATACTTCTCTGGCTATGTATTTGTTATGAAATCTGAGATTCCTTAATTGACTTCTTACAAGCATGTGGTCCACATCTCGTCTACATTTTAACCTTGTGCACGGCAGTGGCAGTATTTGTGTGGTATTGCTGCCGTGAGTTTGATGCTTGTGTAAGTTTATTTGCTGCTTTGAGTTTATTTTACTGCTTTGAGTTTATTTTGCTTAGTCTTTAATTGCTTGCTAGCAGCTCATGTGGTACTAGATGAATCATATTATCTCATTGTAGCTGTATATGTAATTGCTTAATAGGCTTATGCACTAATAACCTATAAACATATAGTTTATTTTTTATGGTGATAATAGTTGTTTAGGGATGGCTACTAATATCAGTAGTAGAGCAAATTGGAAAGATCCAGAATTATATAAACTTTTCTTAGAATCATGTCTCAAAGAAGCAAATAACGGAGGAAAAAGTGGTGGTAGTCTTAAAAGAGAATCGTGGGACAAGATCAAGAAAATAATGGCTGAGAAAAAGAATGTTGAACTCAGCCAAAGACAAATGAAAAATCAGTGGGAAGAAAAAGTACTTGATGTGGAAAACATTGATGAAAAATATCGGAAATGGGAATGATCCAGACACCAAGAATTGGGGTGCGGAGAAATGGAACGATTATATAAAGGTAGCAGTCTCTTTCATTTCACACATTAATTAAGATGAATATATTTGGTGGTTAATATGTAGAATAAAACTTGATATGTAACAGGAAAATCCAGATGCAAAGCAATTTCGTTATGTTGGTTTACAATATATTGATGAGCTGAAATCTTTATTTGATGGCATAACAATGATTGGACAAGCAGCGCAGAGTCCATCTAGGACGTGTTTTTTTTCAGATGGTGTAAAGAACTCAGCATCTTCTCAACCAGAAGTAGGAAGTTCACAAATACGAATTGACCTCGAGTCCAGCTCTTCAATTATGCCTTCCAATCAAAGTAAAGATATGTTGCCAAAAGGTAAACGTCGCAAGAGCAACAAGTATGGAGATCTTGATGACCATCTATCAGCTATTCTTAAGACGTTAGAAAAGTCTGATGGGCCTAGTATCGAAGAGTGCCATCACTATTTGGATGGCATGCAGACACTTCAAGTGGATGACCCATTATATATCGCTGCTTGTAGTATCTTTTGTGAAGGTAAAGCACATAGAGTGCAGTGGATATTACTAGCTCAAAAACCAGGAGAAGTTAGGATTACTTGGATAAAAATGAATGCCAAAAAACTAGGATTTTTTTGAATAGATTATTCGATTAGTTTGTTTCCTATTATTTCTTGTGAATATTTTCATTTAACCGTTCAGTTGACTTATGATTGAAAGTTCCCTTGTTAATTTGCCAGTTACTTTTATTGTAATTTAGTTTAGTGTTTTGTTATGCAGATTGTAGACTATATCCTATACTCAATTAATGTTACAGAATTTTGAATCAATGCATTTTTGCTGTGGACAAGAATTAATCTGCATGCATGTGTACTTTTTTTTTTAGGTGGCATGCCTACTCTTAGTCTCTTACATAAACCTTGAATTTGACCTCCTCAGAGAACATTACAATCATGATTTCTTTTTTAATTGTGTACTATTGAATGGTTTGAATAGGAGAGAGATTGGTGATTGTCAAATTTTGAAGTTATAGCATGATAATTGCTCAATCAGGTCCGTATGCAGATCACCACTACAAGAAAAACTTTAATGTGAAGATCAATCCTTGTGTGTACAATTTTACATCTTGTGGGCTGACATGGAACGCTGCGTCAATGGCTCATTGCAGATTGTTGGGGACAATTCACTTATTAAAGGTATTCTTTGTACTTCTTTTGAATAATCACCATAAAAGCCATTCACTTCCAACCTGTTTTCAGTATCTAAATGTATATCAAACGTAAAATCTTTCTAAGTTCTTTATATATCTATATATGTGGTAGGTATTTGAACTTTGAAGTTATTCCTGCTAGTACGTGAAACATAAGATTATTATGGACTTGATCCAACTAGTATCTTCTCTTCCTGCATATATTGACCTAGTTTGATGTTTGTGTGTGTGCTTGTGTGTTTATATATTTGTATGTAATTGGTTGGGAGGGTAATATAAGCAATTCATCAACACTGACCTTATATATACATGTATACATGTATGTTGATGTAAAAACTCAGAAATATGTTCTTCAAGGGTGGTGTTAATACTGGAATTGGTAAACTAGATGAATGGGTTGAAAAGCTATGCTTTACTACAATTTTTATGGCTGATTCCTTGCCCCATGAACTAATTAGACACCTTGAAGAACATTGAGAATTATATGAGACTGGACAATTCAGCAGTGACCTCGGTTGCCAACTACGGTCCAAGTACAGAATTTAGAATACTGAACTGCATACTGTGTTGTATTTTTCTGTTATATAAGTTGTGAAATGTCACATACATAGGTATTTAAGTTGGGTACATATTTGTCACGATGGTTGCTATTTGTGTATATGGCAACCGTGTTACACATCGAAATGGTGTTCAGGTTTGGTGCAATACTGGCTAATTTCTATATGCAGGTTTACTGGTTTAGCAACTTCTAATTCGAGATAATAGGAGGGTCTTTAATGTTCTAAGTCTGGGGTTCCATAAGCATATGATGCGCCTATTTTTATCTCAGACAAGCATATGAGCCCATTACAGTATCCGGAAACATTCTTTGAGGTGGGAGGGAAGCTCTGGTTCAAAGTACTAGTGAAAAAGATTGATCATCATAACTTATTAAGTAATGATGAATTATGCCAAACTTAGATTCCTAGTAGGTGAGGATGATACAACTGTTTTGGCTCTGAGATTTTTTTTTTTTTTTTCCTTAATTGGTATCCACACAAATGTCTCAACAGAGAGGCTTGAATCCTTGACCTCCATTTGGGAAGTAAAGGCCTATACCACTAGGTTACTGGCACGTTGGTTTGGCTCGAGTTTTTGAGATGTGCTTGACTGAAGGTAGGGTCAGTGATTAGAGAGTACCATGATTTGTAAACTGATCTGAATCGGAGAAATGATTTTACCGGCAATCTAACGAGGATTTGGATCAAGATTTCTTTAGGGAGATAGTAAAGATTCGAATTTGAATCTGCTATGCTCCTCCTCACCATCTTGTTTTGCCTTTGCTCCTGCAAGTGGGGGATAATCGAAAACCCTAGATTTTGGTAATATGGGTATCAAAAGCGGAAGTTGGAGCCTTTACTTCATTAGTCGCCTTAACCTTATTGTTAAATGGATTGAATTGGGACCGGATTAGACTTTTATTGTTAGGTCTGGACTGAATTCGGATGGTGTCAGACTTGATTTGATTCGAATATGATAAGAGATAAATATTCAATTTGTTTGGATTTACAACCTGGTAGATTATTTAGAATGAAATTCATATCCGAATTACTTTCTAAAAAAATTGAATCCATATTCGAATTTTTATAATGTTAATAAATGCATATCCGATTTGAAATACCCAATTGAAAAATTATAATGTTAATAATCGGATATCCGATTCGAAAACTCAATTGAGAAAATATTCAATTTTTTTGTTATTTTAATGTTTAAAAGAAATTAGTAAACAATGATTTGAAAAAAGGAGAGAACTTGGAGAAAAAATAAAAAAGAGAGTGAAAATAGGTATTTGACTTTTTACTGAAGTAAAAAATAAAGGGAGAGAAAATTGGGAGATAGAAGAAGAAGAAAAAGATATATTTGATAAATAGTATTTTAATAATATGTAAATATTATATATTGTAGCATTAAATAATGTATTTAAAAAACATTATATATCATATTATATCCAATGGAATTATTATCGAACTGGATCAATCATTTGTTTAACTCTAGAATTATTGAATTAAGATAACTAACGAATTGTTAGATTGAATGTTCGAATTCCTATTCAAATTAATGAATGAGATTAAGAATAAAATCAGATCTATTGACAAGTCTAATGGTAAAAAAGATTGCAACAGCAGCTGTCATATTATGAAAAAAAAAGCAGAATTTCTAAGTTTTCTGTCCTTTTGAAGTGCTATTTGACTTTTAAAGTGGTATGGCATGCAAGGGAGAAAGTCTAGGGGTGCCAGTCACATCGTGCATTGGACCCATCCCAACTCTACGTGTAGTGCACATGCAAGTGTGTTATACACATACGAATCGAATGAGCCCGGCGCATCCAAGATCTATTCTGAAGATCAATATAACCTTTTGTTATGGGGGTAGAAAGCAAGGAAACCACTACCAATATGAGCATTCCTTGGAACAAACATATCAAGACCAGTCCCTTTAAGAGAGGGAAACTGATCAATGGCATTTTTAATGCCAACCATGTGATCGATGATAATCAGAGGTAGACACTGGCCAGATTGGTACTGGTGCATGTTTAGTGGGCATTGTCCGATAAAGGTCAGTCAGCACATAAAGAAAACATCAAGAAGATCGATTTCATGACAGAATCCAGCAGTCTCCACTGATTAGCCCTAACTACTGGTAGTTAGGAATCTCTCTCAAAGACAGCTCTGCATCAAACATTTTCAATCATTTTAAGCTTCACATCGTGAAAATCATTTGTCTCTTGACCATACAGCCTATTATATATTCCTCTCAATCCAAATATAATAAGCCTTAATAGTGTTCCACATCATAGCAAGGGAGGGCAAGAAAAGAACAAATGCTCGATCTCTATATATAATCACAAACTATTAATTTCAAATGTAATAATCAATACACACACACACACACACATATATATATATATATGTGTGTATATATATATACACACATATGATTTACATTTTTCAAATTTTTTTTTTTAAATATCTATGGTTGAGCAATCCAAATCATGATTCAAACTCATCTCGTTGTTGGGATTAGACCTTCTACTTAACCACCACAATGACAATAAGTCATGCAGTCTAATTTATCACGTAAAACTGACGCCAATGCATGACATAAAACTAACATATATTCATACATAAATATATTTTCAAAATTTGATGCAAATCATGCAATAAATCAATGTGGCACAAAACGATGATTTAAAAGTGAATCAAACAAAAGCAAAGATTAGATCAATCGAGGACCTATTGTTGTGTTCATATCAACACTACGATAACTAGTATCTTATACACTACACAAGTCAAATAATAGCGTTTGTGACACCATAAAAATCACAGTCACTTTGTACCACTTCTTACTGTGCATCCATTTGACAATTCACTTTAAGTGTAATATATATATTTATTTGTGACACCATAAAAATCACGGTCACTTTTTACTGTGCATCCATTTGACAATTCAAAGTGTAATAATAAATATTTTTATTTGTGACACTGTTTCACCGTCACAAATATCCTATTTGTCATTTATTTTCTTATCTTTGCAGTATACTTCTCTACTAATGCTATTTCCTAATTGCCCCTTTTTTTTTTTTGATTTTTTTTTAAAAGAAACTAAACAGTATTCAATCATTGCACATCCTTCTAAAGCAAACATTTAAGAATATATATCACACTTATACAAAATCACAACATACTAACATGATTTATTCATATCAAACAATCATGTAATGGATATAAAATTCCCTACCATTCAACAACTTCCAAAATTCATAAACGTAGTTTCATTATTGTTCCAAAAAATTGGAGGAATGCTTAAACAGATAAGGGATGTGAAGTGGTTAATTAATTATATCATATATGTATGGTATTTTGGTTCTTTAGCTTAGTTTGAGTTAGATTTTCTATTTTGAGGATGACCTAGCTATCACCTTGAGCCAAATCTGTAGATGAGTAAAAATTATATATATTACTAATCTGATAATTTTTATTTATTTTTATTTTGCAAGAAACTCACACACACCACTCATACACCTCACTTTGCTCCTTTTGGAGACTTGAACCATCACCATTCACTTTGAAAAGTAGAGGAGATACCATTAGGCCACAAAACTCTTAATCATCAATCTGATAATTGCATTACCAAAATACCATACATGATATAAAGGTACTGATCAAATATCATAATTTTGAAAACTTGATACACCAACAATATCCAACCTAGTGCTGATTACCATTACCACGGCTTTGTAGGATTCATACCGTCCTCAACAGCTCGATTAGTTCACCAGGACTTGCTGCAGCACCATCGTCTCTGACAAAATGTTTCATGACTGCAACCTCATTCCATGTTACTAGATTTGGAATTCCTAAACTACCAGCTCTTCTAGGTAAATAGCAGGTGTTCCATGCCACCTGTGAACTAGTTTTATTGAGTTTAGGGCCAGACCAGAGGAAAGCTTTGAAAATACTGTCCATCTCCAGTATAATACTTCTTGGCAAAATGAACTTGGAGCTCCAATACAGTTGAGTGAAAAAAAATACAATTCTAATAAGATGCATTCTGCCAGCAAAGGAAAGATCCTTCTCCAATGTGTAATTCTAAAACTGATTTTATCGATGAGAGTCCTACAATCCGAGGCTTTCAGCATAAAAGTAACTAAAGGAACTCCAAGATATCACTGGGAGGACACATTTCTCAAATCCAAGGAATGCTAGGATGGTGGATTTTAGATGCTCATTTACACCTGTGATGAAGACCTAGCTCTTACTGTGGTTGATTTGAAGGATAGAGAGAGAAGAAAATGTCTTAATAGCATGCTTAATTGAGAGTAATTAGGGAAGGAAGGGAATGCTGGTGTCTGAGAAAAGCAAAAGGTCATCAGCAAATATGACATACTTATTCAATAATTTTAATGCATTTTTGCTGTGCAGAAGAATTATTATATGCATACATGTGTACTTTTTTTTTTTTCTTTTTCTTTTGGGTGGCATGCCTACTCTTAGTTGCTTACATAAGTCTTGAGTTTGACCTCCTCATGTCATCTATACCAGCCTCTTTAGATTTTAGATCTCTAAAAATACCACTTCAACTTTTTTAAGAGTCACGTCAGCAATTCCAAGAGCCACGTCACTAACTTTCGCTCTCCAAAAATATACACTCCATCATGCTCTCCGAATTTTCGTTCTCTAAAAAAAAAAAAAAAATTTAAAATTAAAATTAAAATATTTTTTTAACCCTTTCTAAACGATTATATTTCTAACTGTTATATTTTTCATCTTATATAATGAATACTCATTTGCTCATCTGAAAATCATCACTACAATTATCTTTCTCCATTGTAGCAAAATATCATTATCTATCTTTTTCAATTTTGAAATTCCAATGGCTTCGTCATCATAAGCTTTTCTTTTAGCAGACTCTAATTCTTCATCTTCCTCGTCATCCTCTTCGGAAGATGACTCTATTGCCGTGTTGATTCAACAGGATCAAGACGAGTTCTATGAGATTATGAATTTAGTGAGGCCAGAGATAGTTAAGCAAGTATTTCAAGTCCGTAATAAGAAGCAGTACATTCATCGTGACCGAGAGGGAAGCCACTATCAACTAATGAAAGACTACTTTGACGAGAATTGCACATATCTACCGGAGTAATTTCACAGTCGATTCAGGATGCAACGAGAACTTTTTCTTCGTATCCTTAATGATGTCAAAGCTTATGATGACTACTTTGTTAAAAAAAAAAAAGGATATGACTAGTCATCTGGGGTTGTCTTTTATACAGAAGATAACAACTGTTATTCGTATACTCGCATATGATTGTGCAGCCGATCACTATGATAAGTATATTAAAATTGGCAAAAACACTGCCATTAAATGCTTGAAGGCATTTTGTAATGCCATTGTTGTTGTAGATGCAGAGGAGTATATACGCCTACCCATGAAGCCGAAATAGCACGACTGCTTGAAGAAGAGGAGCATAGAGGATTTTCGGGTATGTTTGGTTCTATTGATTGTATGCACTGGGAGGAAAGAATTGCCCAATGGCGTGGCACGACGCACATAGGGGATGCTCTGGTAAGAATACTCTCATAGTGGAAGCTATTGCCTCACAAAATTTGTGGATCTGGCATTCATTCTTTGGAATGCAGGGTTCACACAATGATATAAATGTATTTAATCATTTCCCTGTATTCAACGGTATCGTCAATGGCCAATTACCTCCGGTTAATTATGTAGTGAATGGACATCACTATAGAATGGGGTATTACCTGTCTGATGGTATATACCCTAAGTGGGCAACTTTGATGCAGACCATCTCGCACCCAACCATTGGAAAATAAAAATTGTTTGTTCAGCGACAAAAGACATCCAGGAAAGATGTGGATAGTAACGCAAGGACCAATGCGTTACTGGGAGAAAGATGACTTGCGCCTCATAATGAAAACGTGCATCATTCTTCACAATATGATCATTGAAGATGAGCGTCACGTAAATGTTGGAAGATGGACTCCGCCAACGGAGGACCGATTCCCACTTTAAGTCGATGCCTATCGGTTTTAGCGGCACACATATTCCCTCGCTAACTTCAGATTCGCAACAGAAAGACAAATACGCAGTTGAGGAATGATTTTATGAAAAATTTGTGGAACCGCTACGGTGATGAAGATGTTTAATTTATGTTGCATTTTGTTTGCTTTTAAGATGTTATGAGATTTCGTGTGCTAGAATTTTTATTATGTAATGGTTTTTTAAGATTAAAAATAATGAATTGGAATATGAAAATAAGGATTAAAAAATTCCTATGTGAATAAGTAGATGAATTTTTAATTTTAATTGTTTTTTTTTAAAAAATTTTAAAAAATTGAATTTTTTATACTTTTTTAAAAAACAATTATAACCGTTAAGGCATTATTTGTGTCAGCCAAACAGTATCTTAACGGCCAAATGCATTGTTTGTGGCAGAAATTTAAAATTTAAAGTAAAAAATTAAAAAAAAAAACATTAAGTGGAAAAAGCAAAAAAAAAAAAGAAGGTTTTTTTTATTTATTTTTGGCCCCAATAAATTTTTTTTTGGACAAACAGTGCATAAACAATATATTTTTTATTTAATGAATTTTTATTTTATTTTATTTTTTTTTAAAAAATGAGCTCAAAATAACCTATTTTTGGGGATTTTTTTTAATAAAAAAAAGCAACCTACCAAACAGTGCCTATTGTTTGTTGTCTGTTAAAAAAAACACAAGCGGCTCAGCAAAACGACGCCATTTTACAAAAGAAAAAAACATAAAAAAAAAAATCACGATGGCGGGCTGGCTCGCGGCCTACCCGTGAGGCAAATTGAATGGTGCCAATTGGGGAGAGATTGATGATTATCAAAATTTGAAGTTATAGCATCATATTTGCTAAAGCAGGTCCTTTTTGGGTACAATCGTACATCTTGTGGGCCACATGGGACGTTGTGTCCACGGCTCATTGTAGATTTCTGGGAACAGTTCACTTATTAAAGGTATTCCTTGGACTACATTTCAATAAATTTTTTTTTTTCACCATATAATTCATACACTGCAACCTGTTTTCGGTTTCTATATATATATATATATCAAATACCTGCTGGTATGTGAAACGTAAGATTTATTTCCAAGGGCTTAGTCCTCTTCCTGCAGCTAATGGTGCATGTCACTTATTCAAAAGAGTGCATGCCAACATGCAATATATATATACACTTTTAGTTGATGGAAACTTCTCATTTTCATTATTATTATGATCAAGTTTGATGTTTGTGTGTATATATTTGTATGTAATTTGTTGGGAGGGTGATATAATTCATTAACTACGGCTTTATATGTACATATATTCGTGTAAATATACGCGTATGTTGATGTTAAAAGTTGGAATATGATCTTCTAGGGTGGAGTTAATAGTGCAATTGTAGCTAGATGAATGGGTTGAAAAGCTACTAAGATTGATGCTTTATTACAATATTTATGGCTGATTCCCTACCCGCATTAATTGATTAGACATCCTGAAGAACATTGAAAATGATCGGAATATTGGAGAATTCAGCAGTGACCTCGGTCAAACATTAAGGGCATGTTTAGTGTGGTGGAATGAATTGGAATGGAATGAGAATGGAGGTGGGAATGGAATGAGAATAATGATTCTCATTCCACCGTTTGGTTGTAAATATGAAATGTGTAAAAATGGAATCTCATACTTATTCCTATGTTTGGTAAGAAAGTTAGAATAAAATGAATTTATATTGTTTCTTTAAATTACATTTTATTATTAGTAAAAAAAATTAACTAAAAAAATTAATTTGCAAAAATAAAAGAGAAAGATATAATAGAGAGAGAAAAATAAACGAGATAGAGAGAGGGGGAACAAACAGCATATAGATACATATTATATATATATATTATATTTATATAGTGTGTGTATGCGTGAATTATCTCTTTAAATTATTTTATTATCTTATTAATTCTTAGTGGGAATGGAATGGTCATTCTACCTCTTAAGAAGTATAATGAGCATTCCACCTTTTTGATGGAATGGGCATTCCCTAGGAATGACCATTCCACTTTTAATGGGACACACCAAACAAGAGAATGAAAACAAATACATTCCTTTCCACCTTCATTTGATTCCATTCACTCACACCAAACATAGCCTAATGGTCCAAGTACAGAATTTAGAAGATTGAGATGCATACTGTGCTGTATTGGTTTGCTATGTATGTTGTGAAATGTCACATAGGTATTCAAATTAGGTGCATATTGGCTATTGTATATATGGAGGAGACCAGGTTGTAATTGTGTTTCATATCAAAAATGGTGTTCAACTTGGGGTTCAGTAATGACAGCGTGTTCTTATATTATTCACAATATTCTTTTTTGGTCAATGACTGTGGCGTTGGACCTCTCCAATCTTTTCATATTTTACCATTAGACACATGCAATTCTCTAATCTTATAATTATTGGAAAATTTTTCTGGCGTGATGCTGTGATTTCAAGAAAATTCGAACTCCTGTAACTTTTAAGATGGTGATGTGAGAATCGATCTTGTCGTTGAATTATTTTCTTAGGATTCCAGATGACAACTATTAAACTAGACAATTTCATTGCTTCAACTGTATATGTACTTGATTTAGTTGTCTGCTTGAGATATCAAAGAACAATGTTAAAAGTTGAAGTCGATTCTAATCTTATCTTCCCATCATATATGCACTAAATTGCACTAAATTGCCTTTGAGAGAAGTTACTAGCACTTGCAAAGAGATAACTCTTAATTACGTGGTAGAGATAATATTTGATGAGACACATAAACGAATTTGGTTTTAATTTAATCGTGTTTGGGTCATAATCATGTTAACCTAAATTGACACAGTAATTATTAAATGTGTTGTGTTTATATTTGACCTATCAATTTGTTTAATTAAATGTGTCATGTTTGCATTAAAAAGTACTCATTTAACTAAACGTATAGTGTCTGTGTAAAAAATGACTTAAGCATATTTTATTATGTCATGTCAAGTTTTGATCCATTTATTAAATGAGTTAAATAAGTCATATCGTGTTCATGTCAAATTTATTGATATCAATAATAATTTTGTCTTGATCCATTTATCAAGATACTCACATCTTGACATGAATACTATATGTCAACATTTATCAAGATACTCACATCTTGACACGAACACTATACGCAAACACAATTGCCAATATTAAAAAATCTGTCTCTCAAAGGGGTGAGGGACACCTAATAATATGCGTCTCTATTTAGTGAGAGAGGGAGAGAGCATCCCAATTTGAAAGGTTGAAGTCGCACAATTTAAGAATATTCATTCCGAAGTGTGAACACAAGGGATTCTTCAACTTTACCAGAAAATGGATTCCTCAATTATACCAGAAAATATATGCCAGATACAACATTCCCATTATAGTTGCGGCTGGTGTGGACCGCACATTATCAACACTTTTTAAAATTAGATGGGACTTAGAGCTACCTTTAGAAAGAAAAAAAAATATATGGTTAGAGCTTTTTAAATTAGTAGCAGAACGCATCCTATATATGTGTGTGTGTGTGTGTGTGTATATATATATATATATTTATGTTAAAAACTTCAATCTGAAGCTGGCAAAATCCTCCTGAGCAAAGAAGTAAATTTTATTAAGCTTATAATTTTTTTTTTTCTTTGTTTGTTTCTTGGTGTGGCTTCATCTATTTACTTAGATGTCATTCAGTCGATTTAATGGATAATAGCGTGAATTTACGGTGAACACCCCTCATTATACATAACTGTACTCAATTTATTAATTTTTTTTTTTTTTTTCCCAAATGGTAATGGACTTTAATGTATATATATTATTTGGTTAGGACAGTTGGAATGATACACAAGTATTCTATATTGGAAATTAAAAGCTTATACTATTGGTGCACGCCACGCATTGTCATGATCAACTTACTCTATTTATTATTGTTGTAATTTGCAAGTGTTTTCAAAGTGGTTAACAACTTAATGGTGTTATGCCATTTGAGTCCCTATCAACACTTAAATAGAGATGTACACTACAAGTATATCACCCTCCCAACAAATTATATACAAATTTCCAATTTTTATTAGGTTTTCAATAAAGAGTTATGTTTCTTTGGAGAAAAGTCTTGTTAGGTAATAGAACTTTGGTTCCAAGGAATTGTGTACAAGTAATTGATTAACGACTCCATACATAAGTTCATTAATTATACATGGTGTGTTTGGGTTAATCAATAATTAATTAAGAAAAATATGGAGGAGGAATATTTAAACTTGTTTATTTTCCAAATGTTTCGCTTACCAATATTTTATTAACCAAAAAAAAAAAAAATATGGAGGAGAAATATTTTATTCTTTTTAAATTTATATGAGTTTTTGTTGGATTCTATCAAATTTGGAGAGACTTAATATATCATCTTCAACGGATGCTATGTGATCATCATAAACTGAAGTTGCATGTGATCATCATATACATATTGACCTGGTTTTTTAGCCTACTACAAAATAAAAGAGCATGATAGTGTATAATCAAGAACAAAAAGGATTGAGCCCGTTGAAGATTAATAAAAATGCACAATGAAAGCAACTTTTCTTTAATATTTATAATCACTTTTTTGGCATCTCCAAAACACATACTGAAAATTAAAAAGGGTCAAAGTACAACCAAAAGAAAACCAAAATACCAAAAAAAAAGAAAATTAAATTAAATTAAAACCCTAACACGTACGTGATAAAATGATCACAATATCAATACAATTAGTTACCCCCCCCCCCCAAAAAAAAAAAAAAAAAAAAAGGGAAAGCAAAATAATAGTGTCACATTCCACTAGAACTAACCAACTTGGTTAAGCCAAAAGTGACCCCCATTGCAAGCCACCCCCCAACCAATACCCTCAATGAGGACTTCACCACAGGTGCCCCTCCCATCACTGCACCCAACCCTCCAAACCCTAACAGTGCAAAACTCACATTCCCAACCACCAACCCCAACCTCAGCTTATAGTCCTTCACGAACGCCGCCGCCAGCAGCGGCACCGCCGCCCCCATCGCGAACGACAAGGCTGATGCCACTGCTGCCTGGAGCGGGTCCGGCAAGCCCCTTTTCTTGTCTTCCAAGGCATTTCTAGTCATAATACTGTTCTCTCTCTTCATTTGAGCCACTTCTATTTCATACTGCGAGTACACGGACACAAACTCTCCGATGGCCATACCACAAGCTCCGGCCACCAACCCGGCAATCCCGGTGAGGATCATGGTCTTTACATCATCCCGGACCGCCCCAACTCCCATCATCAGTGATGCCGTCGAGAGAAGGCCATCGTTGGCTCCCAACACGGCGGCTCTAAGCCACTGTGCTCTTTTAGAGTAGTCAAAAACCTCCACCTCCAGTCCCTGCTTGGTTTGTGCATTTTTATCACTGTCGTCAGGGATTGCAAGTTTCATTTTATTTAAGGATGGTTGTGGTTCAGTAGTTTGGTTGGTATTTGCCATGACAGAAGAAGAAGAAGCAGCAGCAGCTAGGAATTAAAGAGAATAATATGTGTGTGCGAGTGTGTGAGAGAGAGAGAGATTGTTTATGTGAAGAAAGTGTGAAGGACACACGCCCCCAATATATAGGAGGAGTTTAAGGGTACTGTAGGAGATGTTGATGGGCATTTGGCATAGTGTGGTGGGGTATTGTTTCTAGGGATCTGATGCGTTCACACTTGTAAAAAGAAATAAAACAAACTTGATTTTTTAATAGAAAAATGTTGTTCCAATGAGATGATTTGGGACAAATAAAGATGGCTAGATTTGCTTGTTGGCCTACCGGACGAGAGTGCCTTATGAAGTATCTCTGGATTAATAATTTTTACAGAGATGCCCCTGTTAAGTTGTAATCAGATTGAGAAATTATACATTGGAATTGTTGTAAGGATAATGTGATATAACTGACGGTTATAAATATTCCTCCAAAAAAAAATGGATCTACAACAAAACTAAAAAAACTAATATATGTATTTTGGTAAAGTGTTTGTAACCATCTATTGTATCACGTAACGGTTGCAATGAATAATTTCTCGCCCTAGACATGTCCAATGCATGTAGCTTGTAGGGTGTTGTGAGTGCCTCAACGGATTCATAAAATTTGGAATCAAACCGAACCATTTAACCAAATGAACCAAATCGTGAAAAACCGGTTTGGTTCGGTTCGATTCTACGGTTCTTTTTTATTTTATTTTATAGAAGTATTCATATTATCTATATGCACAACAATAAACCAAGTTACCACATATTTAGAACTATTAATATATTCAGAACTTTTTATTCATTATTCTCTATCACTTTTGGAACTGAAGGAAATAAATTCAGAATTATTAATAACCTAAGATATTTAGAATTACTAATTCAACAACAAACAATCAACCACAATTCAATTCAGCCACTAAAAAAAAATTTATCTAATAAATTGATAAGAATTAAGGTTCTTTGTTTCAAAGTAAAATATTCCTTTTGAAAAATATTTTTCTTTTTCAGGTAAAATATTTTTTTATTTTTATTTTGTCTGTATTTGACAAAGGTCTATGTTGAGGTTGAGATCTAGTCTATCGAGTAGAGCATATAAAATAACTTTTCAAAAATTGATGGATAAGTTATTTTTTTTCTTCATAAATATTTTACGATAACTAAATACCAGAAAATAAAAAAATATTTTCTGAAAAATATTTTACATCCAAACAAACGTAGCCTAAGATAATTAAGAGTGGACCATATGATTGATAGTTGTTACAAACTTCTAAGTGATTTGGATTGTAGGATTATATTATATTATATATACTCTATAATTTAATATATAAATAAATAAATAAATATATATAATATTATGGTTCGGTTAGATTTAATTCGGATCTAAAAGATCTCAAACTGTGACCAAATCGTATCTTTACAGTTTAAAAAATTTAGAACCGTGACCGAACCAAACAATTAGCAAACCAAACCAAATTGTCCGATCCAGCTTGCTAGGGTGGATATAGAGGTGGGCTTGAGTCCATTCCAAAAAAAAAAAAATTTTTTTTTACAATGCTAATTTTAGTCCAACCCAAAAATATAAAATTATTAATAGAATTAATCCACCCAATCAAGCCCAAGTCAACTCAACCACCATACTAAAATAAAGGCCAAGCCAAATAAGCCTAGGGTCGACTTTGACCATTGTCGCCTGGGGCCTCAAAATTTATAGGCCCATGGATGATGGGTCACCAAAAAAATAAAATATTTTTAGTGCAAATCATTTCAGCCTCCCCAATCGCCTACATCTCTATTCTCGGACTCTGAACTTGCCTTCTCTCTCTCTCTAACTGCAAACTACAACATCTACAAGAATCAAAAGTTCAAAAACCATATATTTCAGTTTATCTATCTGTCTGCAGAAATCAAAAGTTCAAAACCCATATCGGCATATCATTTCAGATTGTTCAAAAAATCAAAACCCATATCTTTCAGTGTCTGTCGCCCGCTGTTCCATTTCGGGTTCACCGTTCGCAAGCTTCAGTCGCTGGCCCCCTGTCTCTCAACTCTCAAGCTTTTCCCCCCTCTCTCTCTCTTCAACTGCTAACTTGTGTGTATGGGTTTTGTTTTAATTTTTTTTTTTTTTTCTAAATCAACTAATCAAATTCAAGGTCTGTATGTAATTCTTGTTTTGCTAACTAAATCCTATTTGGTGAAATTTTTTATGATTTTTTTTAAAAAATAATTTTATTATTATTATTTTTTTACAATATAAAGTAACAAAATTTGCATTGCATTTTGAGGTAATCACGTACATTTTATTTCAGCAAAACAAATATATATATTTTTTATTTCTATAACTTTTTTTTTTTTTTTTTTGTCAATTATATCTACAAGAAAATTTTGAATCTGGGCATGAAAAAAGAAAAAAAAAAAATTGAATTGGATTAGAAACCTGCATTGAATCTGAAACAATTTTTATCAACATGCCAAGCTTTTTGAAGGTGGAAATCTCTTCAGAACTAAAAAAAAACTCATAACAAGAACTTTGACAAGCAAAAGTACTTAATATAGGGTAAAGCTCTAAAGTTACTTCTTGAAAATTAAAATACTTACAAAAAACATGCTTTTGAGTGAATTCCATAGTGTTGGAAGGGCTTGCCATGAACTACCTCACTCTCTGCTTCCACTAGTAGATTTTCAAATAGGATTGGTAAATTGGTCAAAAGAAGAGACAGGGTACTGAGTGGTGAATTGTTCATAAATAAATTGGTAATTTTTTTTTTATTAATTTCTCAAATAGGATTTTCTATGTCTTAATTAGTCAATTGTCTAAAGAAACATTGTTAGTTAACTAAAATTGAATTAAACAACAGTTGATTTTGGGTGATATATTTTGATTTTGCCCACCCAATTGAGAAATCCTGCATGTTTTGTTTCACATAGAAATACAATCTGTGTAATGCACCAAGGATATATTCAATCTTTTTGCCATATTTTTATTTTCAAATTTTGGTTTTTGATTTTCTTTTGTTATTAGAATGCAGAATATCAGGATATTGATTTGTTAATTTTGAAGATTATTCCTAAACTGATGCATTGTATTTTGAAGATTATTCCTAAACTGATGCATTGTACTTTGTTATTGGATTAATTTAACATAAGAGCTGAGTATAATATATGCTAATCACACCTATTCGTAATCACAGCTATTTCTACATATAGGTGTCCAACATTTTGACTGAAAGCATAGTTGGATTGGGTTAATACATGATACAAATAGTATTTAGATTGTGGTGTTTTAATTATTATGAGTGAGATTGTGAGACCTCTTCCTCATAACTTGAATGTTTTCTTATTTTTAGGGTTATCATTAGGTCTTAACATTTAGCAAGAAAAAGGTTCAAGAAACATGCCTCCTCAGTCATTAGGTAACAAACTCTTACTTTTTCTAAAATTTTAATTGGCATTTTTAGCTATTGGTTACGATTTTTTGTTTTTGTTTGTACATAATAAATATAATATTGTTATGAAGTGATGCTCGAACAATTTATTAATGAGAATTAAAGACTTGAAAGTTTAGTTTTCAATTTTCAAAATATATGTTTTACAAGTTTATTAACGCTTTTAAAACCTTTTTTTTTTCTTTTGTCTTAATAATAGATGTCTCTTTTCTAAAAGAAGAGAGTTGATGGGAATGGGTGGAGTAGGGAAAAATAAAATAGGTATATTTTTTTTTGCCTAGCTAATTGAATTATATAAATCTCTTACCATTGTAGTAGTGATGTTGATTTTAAAATGACAGTCTTGGTTTTATGTTCCGGGCCATTCTACCCGACAACCCCGTTCAACCCAAGGCACCTCCTTACCAGCAAAACCAGCGATACGTTAAGATATTGGGGTAAGCCTTAAATTAAAATAAGAAGTATCAAAATAATTTTTTTTTTTAGCTATACGTTTAGTAACTGTTCTTGTGTTATTGAATCAGAGGTATACTTGCTGCTTTGTCACATCTACGTGGTCTGGGATTCCACACTATTGGCAACGTTTATGTTGTGAAACATAGCCCAAGACGGTTGGCAGAACTTGATAAAGGAGCGGAGGACTCAGGCTTCAATGATTATATCAAATGTGCTGAATGGATTGAATTGAAACTTTATACCGTCTGATATTGTTGAATTCCTGGACATACTGAAGAGGGGTCACTTAAGGTCTGGAATTTCTTTGTTTTTGCACACTTCTCTCATTTTTTTTCCCCTAATTTTCTCTCATTTTTTTTTTTTTCCTAATTTTGTCTGTTTTCATCTCCATCAACCATCCTAATTTTGTCTTGTTTTCAGCTACAACCAATATCTGTTAACATTCTACCCTATTAAGTCCAGCAGATATAACTTCTTTTATCACGAGGTTGGTAGACAACATTAAGTCATTGTCTAATTGTTCATATCTTATGAAACAAATTAAAAAATTCCAAATAACTGTGAAGGGGAAGCCTATAACAGATTGGCGAAGCTGTGTTCCCCAAATACTGAACTGGCTAAGGTGTTGTTTTATCCTGGAAATACCCCTCCGGTGATGTCATATGATGATCATGGTTGGGACCATTTTAGATACGAGAAATGCGATCGGGCATATTATAGCCAGCTGCTACAAAGCGGTATGTATGTCAAGTTAAATCAAGTTGGTTAATTGTTATCAATTGTTTTTATAAAAATTCAAATTTTAACGTTTTTTTTTCTTTGTTTTTTCATTTTTTAACTTGAATAAGGGAATCAAAGTTGATTCAGATTTTGCGGACGAGTGCCTTATGGCGGTGTATCCGATAGCATCTCTCAGGTGCAAAGGTTTGTGTCCCGTGAGGGAGTACTTGACAAATTCTTCTGAGTGTAAGTATTTATTGTAGAGGGAGATGATGATAAACTTTCTGCTTTGGCTTGGAAAGTAGCTTACCGCGGTGTATACTGTAACTTTCTTATGATTAACTAGTTGCTGTTACACTTAGAATGTTACTGTTCCAACTAGTTAACTTCAAGGCTTTTCATAGTCAAGGGAGTCAGTTGCTTTCCAAGCTTTCTCTTAGACTGCA